AGCCTTGACTAACCTGGAACTTGCTCTGTAAACCAGGCTGGCTTCAAACTCAGAGATCCACCTGCCTCTGCCCCCAGAATGCTGGGATCAAAGCCATGCGCTACCACTGCCTGGTGATTTAATCTCATCTCTAATCTCTTACTGGCCTATTCTTGGCCTGTATTTGCTCTAATATATTTAATAGTAAGATTTTGTTAGCAAAGAATCTAGAAGCCCTTGATTTAAAAAATAAAACAAAAATCTTTTTAGGGGTTGGAATTTGGTTCAGTTACTTGACTACATCAACAGTGTATGAAAATTCTAGTTTTTCCATATCCTTATCAAAACTTGAGTGCATTATTTTGTATTTTTAGTTCTCTTGAAGGTGTGGAATAAGTATTTTGTGGTTACAGTGAAAAATAATTCTAAATATGTCCATAGACTTATTTGCCACTTGTGTCTTAATGCCTATTTTTAAAAGTACTGGTTTTCCCCAATTAAATTCTGAGAACTCTGTATGTTCTGAGTAAGAGGCCTTTATTAGGTTAGTTTGGAAATGTTTTTTTCCTCCAAACTAGAGCTTGTCTTCTTGTTTTCAAGTTGTCTTTCCTCCTTCACACACATATACATACATACATACTTTTATCTAGGCTATCCTAATGTTTTGTAGTTTTCAGTTAACAGGTCTTAAACCTCCCTAAGTGTTTTCTAAGTTTTCCCCTGGCACTTACCAGGTTTTCTATATATATTGCCCTATGATCAACAGATAAGACAATTTTACTTCATTCTTTTCAATCTGATTTCTTTTTGTTTAACTTCTACTGGCTAGAATTTTATTACAGATGTGGGGAAAGTGGATATCCTTTCTTTGTTTCTGATCTTTGAGGAGATAGGGGTAAGCAATTCAGTCTTGTAATTGTTCATTTCCATTTAATTTACTGAGCTTTTATCATAAATGAATTTAGGCTTTTTCTGCATCAGTGGAGATACATGATATTTCTACTTTCCTTTGCTACTGTGGTAAATGACATTGCTTGCACTTTGGCTTTTGAACATACATTCCAGTTTGTTTACATGCTGGGAACCAAATCCAGGTACTTGAACTGTATCCCCACCCCAGTGGAGGTTGGTTGGTTGGTTGGTTGGTTGGTTGGTTGGTTGGTTGGTTGGTTGGTTGTGGTACTTCAGCTCTTTACGTACGGCTTCACACAATCTAGACAAGTGCTAAAGCATATCTCCAGCCCCTGAAGTGGTTCTTTGAATATTGTATTTTTAGCTTTAGTAAGTCTTTGTATGGGAATTTTCATTAAATTTATAATGGTTTTGACCATAGTTTTTCTAGTTTTCTCTTTAGGAAATACTATGTACAGAAACGACTACTTATTATTTAAAGACTCAATTGATAATCTGTTTCTTTGGTTTGGTTTTGGGACTTGATAGGCTGATCTTGATTGGCTTGGTCCTACATTAGCCTTCAGTGCTGAGATACAGATGTGGGCCACTGCACCCAATTACTTTCTGTTTGATTTATATATATATATATATGTATGTATATGTATATGTATGTATATATTTCATGCCTCTGTGCATTTGTGTTGGTCATTACTTTGTTTTAACAAAATAGCCATGATTCTGTGGCCCATTATAATCCTCAAAAATGAAACTAAATCTTGATGGCACCCATTTTGAGTTGCTTGGGTTCTAGCTGCATATCTGTTCCTTTAGAAATTATATTATAAAGCCAGGCATGGTAGCCCATGCCTTTAATCCTAGGCAGAGGCAGTAGGATCTTTGATTTTAGTTCTAGCCTGGTCTACATAGGGAGTTTCAGAACAACCAGGACTGTATAGAGAGACCCTGTCTTAAAACAACAAAGAAGTATAATTGTAGCATTATATGCAAGTAGATTATAGTTTACCTTTATCTTTGATTGTTATCATTTTATAACAACCTCCCTCCCACTCCCAGCATACTAGGTAACAAAATGAAACAAAATCAAGAGTGACTTGTGGCTTCTGAAAACAAAAAATTTCTTTATTCCAATGTACTGAATGGTGGATCCTTTGTCTACTTTTTTAAATTAAGAAAGTACATTCACTGTATACTTTCTACAGTTTATTTGGAAAGAACTATTGAAGGGTGTATTTAGAAAGACATCTTACACAGAATGTTAACTATGCAAAAACCCATTTTAACATGGAAGCTTTTACTTTATTTTATGTAAACCCAATAATTTGTGGCTTTCAGGAAACAATTGCTTATTTTGGATTTAGAATTTCTTTATAATTTATAGGAATATTTTTGTTTTGCCCTTTTAAAGTTTGGTTTTTGTATGTATTTGAAGTGTACATTGTGCTGCTTTGGTAAACACCAAATGACTAAAGTTTTAAGTAAATCACTGTATCCCTTACTTCCCATTGTTACTTGGACATGTGTTACAGGCACCCAACAATCCACTCTTTGATTTTTATGTAACTGAGGATGACCATGAACTCCTGATACCCCTTCTGCTTCCCAAATGCTGGGATTATGGCTTTTACTAAGTTTGCAGTATACAATACTTTAATTGTAGTCCTCATGCTGTCCAGTTGCAAGGCTCTTCTTTTGATCTCATTCCCTCTCTCTACCTCCTAGCACTTACTCACTCTGTTTCTGTGTATTGCTTCGTTGAGTTTTACACATACAAATGAAGTTCTTTAGTATTACTGGTGTTGCTCTTTTTGTTTTTGACTTACTTCATTTAGCAAAATGTCCCAACAGTGCTGCAACCTGCATGGCTTGGAAACCTGATTAAGGTGGGGAGGGAATGAAGAATTGATAGATAATTTAATGGAGTGGCACCAGCTGGAGCCTCAGCACTTAGACATGGGGTAGGGATGGAAGATAGCTAATCTCATAGGAGGTCTCTAGACAAGTGGTGTCTTCCTGTAAACACCTAGAACGAGGAAGCTTCACTTGGTAGTTGATGTATGTACACACTGTCAACATTGGAACTCCACTCAGGCTGGCTTAGAACACCTGAGCAGGCCTCTTTTTCTACTCTGAGATGCAGGGATTACAAGCATGCTCCAGCCGTGCCTAACTTTCTGAATTGAACATTTTAGTACATTTGCTCACTGGTTTTATTACTTGGTGAATTCTGTTCATAGACTTAATATTTGGGTTTCTTATGTTGAGTTCTGTTTAATATAAAGTATTTGTATCCTCCAATTTCATTTTTCGACTTACTTTCTTATGCTGGACAAAATACTGGTAAACACCCTCCTTAAATGTCCCTATATTCTACATAGAGTTAAAAATGTTCTCAAAAGAGGAAAAATGTAATTAGGCAGTGGGATGCATTCTTCAGTAGTATGTAATTTTGAATGATCAATTAGTATTGGAAGTAATAGGAGTTTTGATGAACTTCCTCACAGAGATGAGAAATGAATACCCCACATTAGGAATAGAACTTAATTTGGGGTGAGAAAAAAGATAAAATGGTTAAGGCTGTTTACACATTAGAATCACTTGAGAAACTTTAGAACTGCACATTGCTACTTAGCTTCTCACTCCTGTATTAGAATAATTTTAGTGTCTAGGTAACACTGATGTATAGCAAGAGTTGAGAATCAGTGTAAATGTGCCTATTCATAATGAGTCTTAATATATTTGTTCTTCCTTGTCACTGTACATAATTCTTGCTGTATCATGAAACTGAAAACTTGCCGGTGGGTTAGATTGTGTAAGTACATACATATCTCCCCACTCAGCTCCAACACCTTTTGATGCAGGGTCTCAGTGTGTCACTGTGGATGGCCTGGAACTCTTATGTAGACCAGGCTGGCCATGAATCAACCTGTTTCCTCCTCACAATGCTAGAATTAAAGGTTTGGACCACCATGCCTGGATACATACCTCCTTTTTAAAATCCTCATTATTATTAACACTGTTGAGATTAATTAATTGAACATATTTGTGTAAGTAAGTAGGTAGGTAGCAAGACAGGCAGGCAGCACTCAAGTTGTACATGTAGTTCTTTTGATGATAGGTGAGTCACACTATCAAAGGACAAGTTGATATGGTTAATTTAATGTATATCTGGAAGGCTGGGATTGTAGGTAGTTCTGATAGTAGAACATTTGCATAGGATATTGGATAAGGTACTGGGTCAGATTCTCAGAACTATAGAACAAGCAAACAAAAAAAGTGTATGACACGTGGTTGATACCTTATGAGTTTTTAAAATGTGTGTGTAGAAATTGTACTGTCCTTAGCTCTTATTCTATAGTTTTTAAGCTATTAATAGTTTGTTGTAAACTATTATTAGCCAACCCCTGCCCTGCTTTCGCCTTAACCAGCCTCGCTAGGACACACACATGAATGTTATTTCTTTAAATTGAAAGGAAGTTGTATGAGAAATAATTTGTCTACATCTCCTTTTTTTAAAAAAAAAAAAAAAAAGATTGATTGATTGATTTTATTATGTATACAGCATATATGACTACAGGCCAGAAGAGGGCACCAGATCTTGTTACAGATGGTTGTGAGCCACCATGTCTTTGCTGGGAATTGAACTCAGGACCTCTGGAAGAGCAATCAGTGCTCTTAACCTCTGAGCCATCTCTCCAGCCCCTATTTCTCCTTTCTTTTATCATGAATTCCATCTAGTAGTCTGATATGCCAGTCATTTCAAAACTTAAGTTAAATTCTTGTGTCTTTATTGAATAGACAGTCTGCTAGGTTCATCATGATGAAGTATTCATCTTAGGATTATAGCCCTTATCCTCTGGGATACCATTTAACAGTTAGAAGCAGTTGTAAATAATATATTCGTCAAGTGCATAATATAGTTTTATTTTAGTTAACATTGGCCTGTATTAATGAGGTCATGAAAATATTGGCATATGTATTGAAGATAAAAATCTCCTTCAATACCTACCTATCTTTTTAAAGATCCTGAGATGTAAATTTATTAAACTTTTTAGTCTACTAATATTAAAAATTTCCTCTTATTTTTCTTTCTTGCATGTATCACAAAGAGTACTTTTAAGGGTGTGGCAGGAGGTTTTGGACTCGATGAGTTTCCACCGAAATGTCGGAGAAGTCAGGCCAGAGCACAAAAGCAAAGGATGGGAAAAAGTATGCAACACTCAGTTTGTTTAATACTTACAAAGGAAAGTCCTTGGAAACTCAGAAGACTACAGGTGAGTAGATCAGTAGCATTTATGTTCATAGAGTTGTTAATGTAGATGTCACTGTATCTGCTGCTTTTGATTAGAGGTTAGGGCAAGCCCATTTATATTGGCCTTATTTGTATCACATACTTTTCAAGGAATATGAATTAAATATTTTACCATTGAAAATTTGCACTTTCATAGAACCTTTGGGAGATTTGTTTCTATTTTTTAGTTATATGTAGGGGTGTGTGTCTTCATCGAGGTATGTGGACGTGAGTACAGGTGACTGCAGAGGTCAGAGATAATAATATATATCTGCTGGAGCTGGTTACATATGGTTGTGAGCTGCCAAACATGGATGCTTAGAATTGAACAGCTGTTGTTCTTAACCCCTGTGCCATCTCTCCAGCCCATCACAAAACCATTTATACATGCTTTAGTCTCCCTTCTGGCTAGAGAAAAGAAACCATATTGAAAGACACAGAGCCATGTATACTCTGTTTAGCTACAGGGCAGAAAAGTCCTGATGAAACTACAGTGAAAAGTGGAAGGAACATTTACAGTATTATGAATAGAATTTATTCTGTAATAATCTTTTGTTTGTGGGTTTTGTTTGTTTGGGATTGGGTTTTTGAGACAAGGTCTTATTGCTGTGTAACTATCTGGCTTAGAACAGGCCAGCCTCCAACCTAGAACGATTTCCCTGCCTCTACTTCCCAGATTGTAGAGTTAAAGATGTGTGCTACCTCTTTGAGCTTTCTTCTAAACATTTTAAGTTTTGAATATAGAATAAGTTGCCTGGAAACATTTTAAAACTAGCCTTGTCACACACAACAACCCCTGCCAGGCCCATAGTATATAGTGTTGCATTTTTAGAAATGGGGGGTGGTTTGGGTGGCTTGGTGATGTTTTTTTCTTTTTGAGACAGGTCTTGCTTGGTCCCACGATAGCTTATCTGTTGTGTGGCTGATTTATTTTTTTACCTTCAATTTACATTACGAGTGTATAAACTGAGTTTACGGAGCTTAACTTTAAGATTAAGGACTATTCAGAGATTCCATTGATTCCTGTGCCTCTATATTTGAAGAATAAAATGGATAGATACTACAGTAGATGTTCTAAGAAAATTGATGTTACTGATCTTTTAGTTGCAGCTCGACATGGATTACAAAGTCTTGGAAAAGTTGGTATTTCCCGGCGGATGCCTCCACCTGCTAACCTCCCAAGTCTCAAAGCAGAGAACAAAGGCAATGATCCTAATGTGAATATTGTGCCAAAGGACGGCACAGGATGGGCATCCAAACAAGAGCAGCATGAAGAAGAAAAGTGAGTCAAAATCTGTTAGAAAAGAACACTTATTTCTTTATAGGAAACGTCTGTGTCAGTAACTGCTGTGTGCTGACAGTTCTGTGTATAGTACATATAAAAACACTGTATGACAAAATTAAGATTCAGAGAGATCTTTCATCAGATGAAAAAAAACAAGTCAACTTGCTCTTTCATGCTTATCTGATGCCTCCTATCTAAGAATGGTAAAATCTTGGGACTTCTTAACACTACTTAGCAACAACATGAAAAATGAACATAAAACATCCTAGGAACAAATTTATGAGTCCTGCTACATCTACTGCAAACTTTTATCATAAAGTGGGACCCAGCGCTCTGCTTTAGTAAGTCCTGGATTAATTCTGAGAGTTAAAAAGATAAGGCTAGGTGGTAGTGGTACACGCCTTTGATCCCAGCACTCTGGGAAGCAGAGACATGCAGGTCTATGAGTTCCAGGCCAGTATGGCTTACAGAGTGAGTTCCATGACAGCCAGAGCTACAAAGAGAAACACTGTCAGAAAAAAGGTACAGATACACACACACTCTAAAAGTAAATATAGTAGACATACAACCATAATGAATGCATTCCAGTCTTTAGATCCTTGGAGTCTAGTGGCATTGTCAACAGAAGAGATGACAGAGTAACTAATCAGCAAGTTTACTTACATTACACAGTCTGCACCACACTCCCTCCTCTCCCACCCTCCTCAAATCAGGCCTTCTCTTTCTAGTAGTAAAAATTGATTCTGAAAGAAATGAAGAAAAATAAAAAAATTTGGTTCCGTTGCCTAAATTGCAAGATGCTAAAGAATTCTGTCTCTAGCATTAAAACTGCTTGGTGTATCATAGATGCTCAAGCATTATCTATTAAGTGAAAAACAAGAATTAATACTGTCTGCCTTAATCATTCATTCAGTAAATATTTTGTCGAGATTTGTGCCAGATTATTAGCTGAGCTAAATAGTAATTTTTAAAACTTGAATAAGTTATTGAGGAGTTGATAGGATTTACATTGCTTTATTTGCATAGATCTTATCAAATTTCCCTATTTCTGCTTAAATTTATGTAGTATATTTGGCCACCTTTGTAGAAACTTGGTTGGTTATGGAATTATTTTATAGTAACAAGTAAGCTAGGGCTGGGTGTACCAAATATAATACTGGCATCTTTAGTCTCTTGAATTACCTTTTCATTTTTAAATATTGCCATAGTACAAGGATTGCATTAAAAATATTTAACATGTAATATCTGAAATAATGGATTAATATTTTTTTAAAGAGCACCAGAAGTGTCACCAGCACAGCCAAAACCTGGGGTTGCAGCTCCCCCAGAAGTAGCACCTGCTCCAAAATCATGGGCCAGTAACAAGCAAGGTGGGCAAGGAGATGGTAAGTGGACATTAGCTGGGGTATCTGGTTAGGTTTGACGGTTACTGAACAGCCATGTAGGAAATCATCAATGCAGAAAACATTGCCAAAGAGATATATTCATAGCCTATAAACTCTTTTAGGCTAATTAAATTTCTTTGTCAAAAGTCATATATGATCTAAGGAGAGCTGTAAGTTATCCTCTACCTTTTAAAAAATCTAAGTATCAAGACATGGCTCAAAAGACATGGGTTTTACCCTCAACACTGATCAATACATATATGTTGTATATAGACATTGTATTCCCTAAAGTCCCACACTTTTTTCAGGACTTCTGGGTGTTGGAAAGTTAGTGTTCATAAAGCACAATAGTAGCTATCATACTCCTTATAAAAATGAACAAGTATGTAAACAAATAGTGAGATGCCCTTAGGTATTTAGTGAGATAAAGTAGTAAATGAAATGAAAGCATCTTAGCCTTGCTTGGGACTTGGTGATCTTTAGTCCAAAAGTTTATTTCAGTAATACAATTTAAACTAGTTATTAAAAGCTTTTAGCTAAGAAGTTGGACCTGAGTAGGAGGAGTTGATTTCACTTGCCTATTCGACCTCCCTTAGTCCTCTGTATATGTCTGGCCCCTTCCTCTCAAGAGTTTTGTCTTCTCATGGCTGTTCATTAACTTTTCAAAGGCTATGGTGCAGTTTAATAGTTTTATTAATATAAGCAATCATTGGAATGATTAATCAGAAAGAAGCAAGAGCTATTGTGGGAGGGTTGCTTGAATTATCTTATTGTAAAAGTTACCTTAATTTTTTATTTAAAAAAAAAATGTAGGAATCCAAGTGAACAGTCAATTTCAGCAGGAATTTCCCAGCCTGCAGGCAGCTGGAGATCAGGAAAAGAAAGAAAAAGAAACAAATGATGAAAACTATGGACCTGGCCCCAGTTTACGGCCACCAAGTGAGGATGCTTTCTACCTATTTTATCTTGGGATATCACCTCATATATGCTGGGGCTGGGGTGTGTGTGTGACTTTCCTACTTTTACTTAAAACACTGGGGTTTGGGACCAACAGTACTGTAATTTTAGAGATTGTTGGAAATGTATTATACTTAACTTACTAAACCAAAATTTCTGAGATGTCCAGGTGTCTTGTATGTAAATAATATATTATCCTTTTGCCCTTGTCTTTGCCATTTGCCCTGTCCATTCCCTTTCCTCTTGGAGTGCATGCATCTACCTCAGCCTTCCAAGGTCTGCATTTACAGGCATATGCTACTGTGCCTAGCCATATATTTGATCTTTTTACAGTAACAAGTTTTTAAGCATGTTTCTCTGTTATATAAGATCTATTCATTTCTTTACTCTGTTTGTATTCCACAGTTTCTTGCTTTCTGAACTCAAACTGAGGAAATAAATTGTTTTGGATAGTGAAGGATACTTTATGTGCATTATAAAACAGAAACTAAAACTAAAAGTATGAAATGTGTAAGAGATGTGTAAATGTCATCACTAAAGATTTCAACAGACACTCTATTCATGAGGTTCCTCAGACAAAAATTTTAGAGGTCCATGTTTTAATGTTATATTGTATTTCACATTTAGGCCTAGTTCTTGTCAAACCTGAATATATCATCTACTTTTATTTTTTAACCTTCATAATGTAATCAACTAATTCATACTAGAACTTGTGTCAGCTCCATCATTTCTGCAGTTGATTAAATTTTTACCTAAAAGTTACTTATTGCCTCCTAACAAATATGGCAGTGTGAGTGAACAAACTGAACCCAACAGTGTTTCTGAAGGCTAGAAATCCAAAAGGAAGCCTGGTTAGAAGTTATGACTAAGGGATTCTCTCACAGCCCCTTTGCTGGTACTGCTTATGACATGTCTTCCCCAAAATAAGTGATAGACTGATGTAAAAGATTGGACTTTTTTCCAGAATGGGGACTGTTTATCTGTCTTTTAATAATCTGTTCACGGTTCCCTTAAAAGCACACAGTGGTTTTACTTAGTTAAGGATTTGAACAAAATAATTTCACTGAATCTCTCACCAGGGCCCATGTAACTAGTAATAGTTGACGGAAATGGGTGTGAGCATCTCCAACTCTTCTGGGCTGCACCTCACTTTACTTCCGTCTAGAATTCTCATGTATCTTGAAACATGACTATCTGACAGTAGAGCAAATGAGAGGAGTGGTTTTTTATTTTTTAACCTCTACAAAAATACTGATAAAGCTCATAGAGGTTCTAATAGCCCTCCTCTGATGGCTTGTCGTGGCAGCCTGAGTTACAATTTTTGTGCTTTGGAAGCCACGACTCTAGACTGCCTGAATTCATTAAAGAGACTTAGCGGACCCACACTGAGTTTCTTCCCCACCTCTTTACTGCATTTATTTGATGATATTTTCTTGAAATGTGCGTAGGTTGGTTAGTGTCACTGTTATGTTACTAAGTATTTTCTTTTCTCTCTCCATAACAGATGTTGCTTGTTGGAGAGATGGTGGTAAGTCTGCTGGCTCACCTTCCTCTGATCAGGATGAAAAGCAACTTGGCCAGGATGAAAGCACAGCTATAACATCAGAACAAAATGATATTCTCAAAGTAGTGGAAAAGAGGATAGCTTGTGGTCCTCCACAGACCAAGCTGAATGGACAACAGGCTGCCCTTGCTTCTCAGTATAGAGCTATGATGCCTTCATATGTGAGTATTGCTAAACATGCAAGCAGTCAAAAGGATTTTCTACTATGGGATTCAAGAAGAAAATTGGATTAGGGAAAATTGTGCTTCTTTAGTCTCATTAACATCAAATTAAAAATTAATTATGAATATAGTAAAGTAAGCAAATCATATGTATTGGCAGCACAGGTAGCTTTATCATTAACAAATCACAGAACATTACACTCAGCATTGGATTTATGGGTCAATAAAGAAGCATATATCGCCAAACATGATGGCCTTTAATTCCCTGCACTTAGGAGGCAAAAGCAGGTAGAACACTAAGAGTTTGAAGCCAGCATGGTCTACATGAGTTCCATGACAACCAGGGCTACATAGTGAGACCTTCAGTCAAAAAAGAACATACAAAAGAAGCATGTATATTAATTGCCAAATCACAGCTATTGTTTGTTATGGAAATAGAATTTTACTGTAACACTTTGTATCAGTGTGTATTTTGGTTTATGGATTTAAAACTTTTTGGAGAAGAGGCTCTCGTGGGATTTGCCAAATTGCCCAAGCAATAGTTCATGGCTAGGGAAAAAAAGTTAAAAACTGTTTAAGTTCTAATTAAGTTTTTAAATCTATAGTGTGGTCTTGTTTTTGAGACAAGATTTGTATGAAGTTCAAGTAGGCTTCAAAAGGAGTCCGATCTCAGGCTACTGGGTGCTGAGATTATAGGCATGCTCTTACGCCTACCTAAATTAATTTTTACCAAAAAAAAAAAAGGTGATAAATGCCAATTCTCCATGATTTCAGGCTACTAAAGCAATCCTAAATACTATATTTCATTTATGGATTTTTTTTTTTTTGTATTTTGAAAGGAGCCAACCAGGCAAAGTACATTAACAGCTAAAATTAAAAAATGAATTCTTAAAAATTAGGTCACTGTTAGGATCCAGGCAATGATTGATTCTTTGGAATCAGTTCCTATTTCTTGTTAATGATCTTGTTACCTGTGGGTACATCTGTCTTTCATACTTTTCCTTTCATTGTTTTATGTTTTAAATTGTTTGTTTTAAGTTGTGTGTGCTCTATTCCTTCTTCCTGTCATGTTTTACCATTCTAGAAAAGCAGAGGGAGATGACTTGCTAAATATTTTCTAAAGGGGGAGGGTTACAGTTCATTGTGCATGAGGCCCTGGCCTTGTCTCCCCAGTGCTGAAGGATAACATCCTAAGAAGGATGAGTCTGACTTAAAAAAAGAAAAAAGAAAAAGAAAAACAACCACTTTACAAACTGACTTGCTCTTTAAAAATGACTATACTCTTGCCTCCTCCTCATTTTTAGATTTTTGAGCTTCCAGGTTTGAAGGCTGGAATGTCAAAGGAAAGAGAAGGAGGCTTCAGTACCAGTTGCCTCTGGTTCTGGTTGAAAAGTGTTTCATTGGTTATCAGAAAGCAAACACCTTTTAACACAAGGATATATTGAGAATTTAGGAATTGTTTCTGTTATTAATGTATGACAAACTCCAAATTTTAAGCTGTAAGTCACATATAATTAATCATGTCTGAAGTATCAAAAGGAAGATCTAATAAGCTAAAGATAATTTTGCCTATTTTTACTCCTTTCAGTATGGGTGTGTGATACAGACAGGTGCACCCCCCTCCCCCACCCCATTTTCCTCCAAAGTTCATAGTTGAACTTCATCTGGTGTTTAGTTTGACCTCATTTCAGCCCTACTTAGTAGGAATGACTTCTTTAAAAGCTTGGTCATACAAACCACCCTTTTTTCCTATGGAAAAAGATTTTTGTTTTGTGTCAAGACATTTTTTAGCAGAAGCTAATCTGGTTCAGAATACAAGTAGAGTATTTAAGATACACCATTGATATTATTTACATGATTGCCTTGTGTGTCGGTAAAAGAGTAAGTACTTCTTGAGACTTTCCCTTCCAGATCATAGGATGAATCCCTTAGTTGTTAGTGTTTTCAGAACTTGCCCCGCAGAGCCCCCTTTTTAAGCTTTCCTTTTCAAAGCTGAGATCCCACAAAATCAGTTTGACTTTTTATCAGGTCTTAATTTATGTCATCTATGTAGTAACTTGGCTGAGAACCTGTTTTCTCTGCCATGCTTAATGTCTTTCAGGGTACTCCTTCACCTATCTCTTGCCCTAATTTTGGTATGGACTTTCCCTTTCTGTAATCTGAAGTGAGCTCTTCTTTATTAGTGAGTCTTTCCACTTCTCTTACACAAAAAATTCCTACTTGGCTTCCTGGGGTTTGTGTATTATGAATTAGTGGCTTTTACGGTTTTTTTTTTTTTTTAATGTCATTACATAAGCTATAATTATATTAATGAGATACAAAGGTTCTTCATATGCCCTAGTTAATACTTTTGTGGTACAGTTTGCTGGAGGGGTGCAAGGGCACATGTCTTTAAGGTAGACTGACCTCTGAATTTGCAAACAGCTGTTTTGTAGCAAATTCCAGGCCAACCACAGCTACATAGTGAGACTTCTGCCTTGAAAACAAAAAAGACTTTCTGGAATCATTGTTCCTATAAATGGTTTGTTACTCAGTGGTTTGTTAGTGAGGATGAGTGATGTCTATATTAGCAGACCAAGTTAATTATTCATATCATTTGCCTTAATCATTCATACTTCATTACATTTAAGAGCCACTCAATCTGATTTGTATATCATAAGTTACTAAATTTCTTGTTTTCTTCACAGATGTTTCAACAGTACCCAAGGATGGCATATCCTCCTCTACATGGCCCCATGAGATTCCCACCTTCTTTATCTGAAACAAACAAGTAAGAATATTTAGAAAAGCCTACAAGAGATATGTGCATATTAAGATTTTTTTTTGAACATTGGGTATTCATTTTTCTATTCTCAAAAGGACATTTGCTAGTAATTAGCTACCTCTTTTAAGAAAAAAACTAAAATAGTTCAGTATTTGAAAAATCTAATTGACACAGATTCTGAAAACAGGAAATCATGACCCTAAAACCATTGATAATTATTTCTCCCCTTTTCTTGTCTTGTTGGTCACCCCATTCTTTTTCTTTGCTTAATGTGAGATTTTTAGTATCCTCTTAAATAATATTAATTATGCATTTTTAAATAAAATAAGTTTTTGAACTTTGTAAGCTACTAATTATATAATAGTGATTTTTATAGTCATATCATGGCCAATGTATATCTTGCTATAGAAAACACTAATGTTGAATTGAAATGAAAGTAAATTCCAGCATTTTAATACTCTCAATTCAATATAATTAAAACTGGTGCATTTTTTCTCTGCCCTCCCAATCATTAGAGGCCTTCGAGGAAGAGGTCCTCCTCCTTCGTGGGCTTCTGAGCCTGAACGCCCATCCATCCTTAGTGCATCAGAACTGAAGGAGCTTGATAAATTTGATAACCTAGATGCTGAAGCTGATGAAGGATGGGCAGGTAAGAAGCAAAATTCATTAAGCATTTTAAGCTGATTGGTGTTTTATAAGGCCCATCTAAATTTTCATTTGTTTAACAGGTGCTCAGATGGAAGTAGATTATACAGAACAGCTGAATTTCAGTGATGACGATGAGCAAGGAAGTAGTAGTCCTAAAGAGAACAGCAGGTAACTTGGGACAGTGTTGCTGTTGACAGTGTGACTTTTGTTGATAGAATATTGTTCTGCAAAGATGCTTCATAGACATTTTTTTCTTTTTTTCTTTCTTTTTTTTTTTATATAAAATTTCATTTTTCTCTTTAAGTATTAGTGAGGTAGGGGAGTGATTAGTAAGCCTAATTAATACAGTACAGCTAATCAAGGAATTAAGATTTTATATTTCTTCAGAAGGTACATTTTTCAAAAGGCTGTTTGTATACTTGGTGTCTAACTGCAGATGAGTATCTGGGACCATTTTACTAGCAGAACTGGAGGCAATTTCTTAGACTACTAAGTTGTTTCAAGGTCTTGATTTTTTTTTCCTCCTGTACCTTTAAAATGGTTAGGGTTTTTTTTGTTCGTTTTTGGTTTGGTTTGGTTTGGTTTGGTTTGATTTTTCGAGACAAGGTTTCTCTGTATAGTTTTGGTGCCTGTCCTGGATCTCACTCTAAATCAGGGTTAATGTATAATAGAATATTAGGTTTTTCCATGCCTTATTGGTAATTTTCTCAGCCATGGCATTGTAATATGCTATACTTTCATGGTAATCATCTGTGAGATGTCCGTGATATACTAATTTGATTTATTTTCCTTACTGAACCAGAATAAATTAGAATATAGTTCAATGTCACTTATTTATATTCAGGTGATATTTTTTGAGTGGACAGAAAAAGAAAAAAATAGTTTGTTAGAGTCATTTGCATCACAGATGAGTATCTAGTTTGAGCAGCTGCTGTACTGCTATGCTAGTTTATCTTTGATAATGTGAACTAACTAGTCCTCAAGTCCCTACAGAAACATAGTGTGTATTATTGAATGAATTAACATCACTAAGTTACAAACCTATCATTCATTGCCTTATACACTTTCTTCCCCTGAAGTCATACATAAAACATTTCTACACAGAGAGAAGTCATTTGCTTGTGATGTAATTCTACTTAGCTTTTTTGGTATCTTCTCCATTTTGATTCTTCAGTGAGGATCAAAGTTCAAAAACACCTGAAAACACAGAAAACCGAAAAGAAATAGATGAAGCATCTGGCACCAAATTATCTTCTCAGATACCTGCTCAGCCTCCAGGAGCAAAAAGTCCTTATGGAAAGGGACCTCCATTTAATCAGGTTCGTTGGGGACGTGCAGACCCTTGTCATTAACAATTCTTCAAATGAATTAATTTAACGTTCAAAATTGGAGGGACTTGGGAAAGGTTACATGGTTTGCAGGCAGGAGTGGGATGGTGGTGGTAGTTTTGTGTAACTGCTTATTTGAAACAAGATCTTGCCCTGTAGCTTGGGCTCTGCCCTCATGGGTGCTGAATTGTCAGACATATGTCACAGTACTTGACTGGGACTGTGTGTTTCCTTTAAATAAGCCTGAACCTTTGCTGATTTTATTGCCTGTTAATTGGAATTATTGATACAGTAGCTAAAATTACTAAGCCAAAAATGAGGCTTCACTTTTGTCTTGTTAATCAACTCAGGTCAGAATAGAGGTGTATTTTGATCTCATCTATGAATTGAGTTGGTGTAGCAATAGCTACATTGCAAACTGAAAAGGGGTATATTCAAGAAATTCATTGTAATTTTTAATTAGGAATCATTGTGTAGGTGGCATATATTTGAATTTATACAAAACAGATGGAAGAACATACCCATCACTAAGCTAAAAAAAAAAAGGAGCAAGCAGGCAGGCAATCTTTGAAAGGAAAAGGAAATTTTCACCATTTGCATAGTGGGTTTACTTCTTACCTTAACTGAAATGGCAGTGTGAAGAATGGTTCTGTAAAAAGTTATTTTACAGTGACTGATAACGCTTTTCCTAAAATGAGGACAAGGCTGATTGGTTGACTTCGAACAATCTTGTGTTCTCATTAAGAAAATTAGTATAGTGCATCATAAGTATTTGAGATAATTTTTTTAAATCTCTCCCACCCCAATCTTTTGTTCTTCATTACAGGAGCGTGGACCTTCTTCACACTTGCCACCACCTCCCAAGTTGCTTGCACAACAGGTAGATTTTAGATAAGTGTTGGTGTATGGTATGCTGTGTTTGGACTTATTTATAGTTTTCCTTTGATGAAACGGTGCTGTGTGTTTATAACTTTGATGAAACAGTTGTATATTGTTCACTCGGTGGCTTTAGCATATTTTTCTTCTAGTTCTTTTCATCATTCTTCTCTAACAGGCACAATGTGCATCTCATTAAAGAATGAGAAGCACTCGGCTGATAGCTGCCACTTCCACACTAGTATTCTTCCTTCCTGCTGTCCTTGCTTGTCCAGCCATTTACTTGTTCCCTGAAGTCAGTCCCGTCACTTACTACAGTGTTATTTCTCGGCACTTAAGAAAAACAAGCTGTCTACATACCACCTCTTCATCGTCTTGCCTCTTGTACTCCATTTCTTTGTTCTGCATCGTAGCAACATTCTTTTAATGAGTTATTTAAACTTAGGTGCATGTGTCATTAGTCTCCACTACTGCCACGAATACATGTGTATTCACACACACACATGCTTATTCCCTCTTCAAATACATTTCCAAATATTAATTTAACAAATAACTTGTACTAAGTTATGTTTAGAAAAAAAAAACACTTTATAATAAGGCAGATAGCTCAGTAAAATGGTTTCAGCTTCACAATGGAAGATGATGTGCGTGTGGGGTCCGGGACATAGCCCAGTGACTAGAATGCTTGCTATACAAGCATGAGGATAGGAATTCAAATTGCCAGAGTACACACGTCCAGGAGAATTCATACATGTCTGTGGTGTACACGGTGATGACCAACAATGACACCTATGTTACTTATTTACTTGGGGGGGAGGGTCGGTTCGAGACAGGCTTTCTCTTTCTCACAAGAGATCCGCCTGCCTCTGCTTCCGAGTGCTGGGATTAAAGGTGTGAGCCTCCACCACCCAGCCACCTATTTTAAATAAGGTACAGGGCAAAGACGACATCTGTTCTTTGATCTCTGCACATATGCTTTGCTCCTAAGTAATGAATATATTCATGTACATCAAACCACAAATATACACACATTCACAAAGAAAATAAATGGTCAGTAAGTACATGGAAAGGTAGTCAGTACCTTTAATAATAACTATTGTAATGTAAATTTAAACAACAGTGATGTATTTCCTGTGTATTCATCATTGCCATAATAACGAGGATATAGGATAGCTTGCACACTTGAATAGTGCTTTGAAGTCTGTAAACCTTGTGAACAGTGTAGGAAGGCAGCTTGGCAGTTTCTTGTTAAGGAAACGTGACTTGAGAGTGTCACTGCAAGCTTTTTAGTCAAGAAGAATGAAAATACACAGACTAGTGTTATAACTCTTATATGTAGTTAGGTAGACTACTAAGAGCAACCTAGGATACACATGAGTCATAGTTTCCTGTACTGGTAGAGGAATACTAAACAGCAGTGAGTGGTGTAAACTACCACAGACTAACCAACAAACTAATTACAGTGCATCAGAGAAAATGGACCAAAGATACAACTTTTTCTGCTTCAGTGAAATTGTAGGACAGGAAAAAGTGTTACGGTTAAGGTATTTGGAAGTCATGGATGAGAGCAGAAGAGTGGTGGAAAATAAGTGTCCTGTGTATATCATATCCTTTTGTGAAATTATTTCTCCTTTTTTAGATTGGCTCTGAGCTGTAGGTGAAGCCGTGAAGAGATTGATGGTTTGATAAGACAGCACTGTTGGTGCATTTCACTTTTTAGCTCTTGTTTGTTTCCACCAAGCCATTATTTTTCCTCTTTTTCTTTTTTGGACTCCTGACTGGGCTATAAGTGAATTTCAGTCTTTATACTGGTAACTTTCCATTTCTGTGTGTTGAAAATCTTGAGTTTTATTGTTTATATTCTAGCCCTTCGTGTGCTTTTCCTCATTCTTATCTTTGCAGGGTTTCCAGCAATATTGTTTAAGCTTTGGCCATCATTGGAAACCATCAATGAAAAGTATCACTCACATGCTCCTCTCAACTCTCCATTGTGTTCTGGATTCAGTTGTCAGTTTCTCTTTCCAGACTGAGTTTTGAGAATTTACTTAGGGCTATTTCTTTGGCAGCCATCTCCTCCATCTCTTTCTCTGAATCTTTCCTTCTAGTCCTTCCTTGTTCATATTCTCGGTGCCCATGTGCTGCCATCTTACATATTTGGGCCGTTCTTTCACCCTGAGGCATTTCCCCCCTTAGGCAGTTTTGTCTGCAAGCCGCTATAAAAGCATACACTTAAATTTATGTTATGTCTGAGTTGATATTTTGAAGATCCTTATGCTTTTTATCTTAGCATAAACTGAGCAGTAATGCTTACCTAGCACAATGAATGGGTATTTCTTCACTCAGTATTTGATGACCTAATTTTTCTCTTCCTAATTTGGTGAGTTGTCTAGACTTAGACTTTACATGTTATATTTCCTTTTGTTTTATTTTTAATTTCCTAAGTTGTATGCACATGCAGAACTCAGAGTTTGGGAAGTCAGTTCTCTCCTACAGTGTGGGACCTGGGATTAAACTCAGGTTGTCAGAGTTGGCAGCAGGTGCCTTGACCCTCCATGGCCATCTTGCTGGCCTATTTCTTTTCAATTTAATGTATATGCTTTGACAGGGCAATTAATTTCTTTTTTCTCTCTCTCTTTTAATGGACCCTTCTTCCCACTTCTCCATGTTTATGGCATCCAACATTGGTCACAAAAAGTTGTCAGGTTAATGAGATGACTCAGTGGGTAAGGGTGCTTGCTGTCAAGCTTGACAATCTGAGTTCACTCTGGGGAACCCATATAATGCAATAATAAGAGAGCTGATTCCCACAGGTTGTTCTCTGACCTCCCCATGTACACACATGCATACACAAATAGGTATAAAACAAATTATTTCAAAAATTGAATTCTCATCTTTGATATCTTGCCCTTTCAGCATCCCCCACCTCCAGATCGACAAGTACCTGGAAGACAAGGCCCTTTTCCTTCAAAGCCTCAAGTACCTGATAATGATGAAATCTGGAAGCAAAGACGAAAACAACAATCTGAAATCTCTGCAGCAGTAGAGCGTGCTCGCAAACGGCGCGAGGAGGAAGAGCGAAGAATGGAGGAACAGAGGAAGGCGGCGTGTGCAGAGAAATTGAAACAGCTGGACGAGAAGCTGGGTATCATAGAAAAACAACCATCTCCAGAGGAGCTCAGAGAAAAGGAGAGGGAGAAGGAAAGGGAGCGGGAGAGAGAACTTGAAAAAGAGAAGGAACAGGAACGAGAGAGGGAGCGGGAGCTCGAGAAAGAGCAGGAAAGACAGAAAGAAATGGAGAAGGAAAGACAGCAAGAGAAAGAGCTAGAACAACAGAGGGAAAAGGAGCAAGAACTGCAAAGGTTGAAAGAAGAGGAGAAAGAGGGTGAGTTGAAGGAAAAGGAGAAAGAAGAGAAAGTTGAACCCCAAGAGCCCATTTTAGAGCCTGTGACAGAAAAACAAGAAAGTGAAACCAACTGTAATACAGGTATGATGCTCGGTCTACATTTTATATTTAATTCCCTTACTCTACTTTATTGGGGAGTGGTGGAGATTGGAAGCAGGTCTTTGCATGTATGTGTGACATGGTATTCTCTAGAATATATGGAACTCGTTTTCCTTAGGATAAAAAAAAATTATGTCTGAGATTTAGTGAGAATACTAGTCACCCCCTTGTGAATGAGTACGTTTGTTTCAGCATAACTAGTGATCCGCTCTGAGGTCTTCGTGTTTGTTGAGTTGCACTAGTTTTTGCGATACACTATCCATTAGTCCAGTATTTGGGGCAGGGAACATTGGTTTTTGATTTGACAGGATCTCACCATGTGACTTTAGTTGGCCTGAAAATTCCTGTGTAGACTCGGCTGACCTCAAACTCAGAAATCCATGGGCCTCTATGTCCTGAGTGCTAGGATTAAAGGTGTGCTCTACCACACTTGACTTTCAGCTCTTTTTTAATATATATTGGTCACTTGGTGTTCATGTAGCTCTTAACGTGTATCACATTAATATTTATTGAAATAAATGAGAAACGTTAGGATCTGAGTGTTTACTGTGAAGTAAATACATTTTTGTGTAGTGAAGGATTTGGATCTGTGATCTCTTTAGAGTCCAGCTTTATGAGAATCCGTTTTGATAATAGTGGATAAAAAAATGAAGGTTTAGGGAGAAATGCTTTTTCCTCTTTGAGGTATATTATGCTTCATTTTCTCACAACAGCATGTATTTGATAGGATATCTGACTATTTCTTTGAGCAGAAGAGGAAGCAGTTTTCACTAGACAGGACAGCAATCGCAGTGAGAAGGAGACCACACAAGTGGTGCAGGAAGCAGAACCTGAGTCCGGCTCTCAGCCCCGACCTGCTGGATTATCGGGCTATTTCAAACAGTTTCAGAAATCGTTGCCACCACGATTTCAGCGGCAGCAGGTAATAGGAAAACCAGAATGCTGCACCACTTTTGTGTGATTGAAAGATTTATTGTTCAGTTTCCTGATAATTTAACATAAAACCTAAACCATATAAAGCATAGAAACTTGCCTTAATTTTTTTGTTTTCAATACACTTGTGGGAATTGGTTTTACTCTGACTTTCTCTGTAATGCCTTTTTTATTCATGTATACCTCCTCTTCTAGGACATGATGAGTTGTTTATGTCCATTATAAGAAAGTACTATAACTTCTTTAATCTGTTGCCAACTCTGTGCTTATTGTCTTTGTCTTTAAATATTATAAAACACCATTGTTTTCAAATACAATTTATTTGATCATAACTAGAAACTTCAGTATGTGTGATTTTTGCTTTTTCAGGAACAAATGAAACAGCAGCAGTGGCAGCAGCAGCAACAGCAGCAGCAGCAGCAGCAGCAGCAGCAGCAAGGTGTACTTCCACAGACTGTTCCTTCACAACCATCTAATGGTTCGGTCCCTCCTCCACCACACAGACCTCTTTATCAGCCAATGCAACCCCACCCTCAGCATTTGGCTTCTATGGGTTTTGATCCAAGGTGGCTCATGATGCAGTCCTATATGGATCCTCGAATAATATCGGGGAGGCCTGCTATGGATATTCCACCCATTCATCCTGGTATGTTATAGTGACAGTGTGACATGGCTTACTTGCAGTATTTAAGGGGTTTTGTCTGTCACCCCTTTTTGTCACAGTTTCCTCAGTATTAGAAGTTTGTTAGGACCAAGGACCTCTAGGTCTTTATCCGAAAGTTAGAGCTTTTAGTGCAGGTATTTTTGCCAGCTGTCTTGACAAGAACAAACTGCTAGCTCTGTCCCTTTTATAGATGTATTGTAAATTTTGGAGATGAAAATTATTCTTGCAGAAAACTGTTAATAGTATTCTCACTCTGCCAAATATTTCAGCATTTGAGTTTTATCTACATGTGTATCCCTTCCTTTTGAATTCCTCCATCATTTATCATCAACTCTTGAATTTCTTTATAAGTTATCTAAAAGTAAGTTAGCCTTTTTGAGATCTCCTTAAAATAAAGCCAGATAATCTATCATCAAAATGATACTGTGGACCTTTTAGGAGTGATTAAAAAGCTGATCACAAATTGTATCTGATTCAAAACATGGTGGCAGATAGCTTTAATCTTAGGATCCAAAAGGCTTGTGCCACAAAGTAGTACAGTCAGGGCTATCTTGAAGGGTTTGTTTATGTATGTATGTTTGTTTTTAAATCTCACCTTGATACTAAATCCACAGTATTTGAATGTTTGAGTTACATATTTTAATAGGATATTGAACAACTAGGATGAATGAAATTGCTGTAGGAAGTAATTTTCTCCCAAAACTTGCCTTTTTGGTATAATTCTGATCTTTGTTTTTTCTTTTAGTTGTTTTTAACATGCATAATTTTTTCTTTTAAAGTAAAGTAGACTCCTATTGTGTTTTTCCACCTTGGTTTTGTTCTTAATAAATTTTAAACAGCAATTGGTCTATATGTTTTTATCATGGTTTTGTTTCTCTCTCACTTTGTATAATTCTCTTTTATGTGTATGAACTTTTCTTACAGGAATGATTCCTCCTAAACCATTAATCAGAAGAGACCAGATGGAAGGGTCACCAAATAGTTCTGAGTCATTTGAGCATATAGCTCGATCTGCAAGAGATCACGGAATTTCCCTTTCTGAACCTCGAGTGATGTGGGGATCAGATCCCTATCATGCTGAACCGCAGCAGGCAGCCACTCCCAAGTCAGCTGAAGAACCTGGGGATGCAAGGTAATAAATTATTTAACTGAATAAAGGATTGTTAGAATATTGTGCTTAAGAAAGCAACTTTATAGTATCTCAGAAGATCCTTCTGGGGGCCAGCAATATTGTTCAGGGACAAAGGTACTTGCCATTAAGCTTGATGACCAGTGTTTGATGATCCTATGTGGTGGAAGTAGAGAACCAACTCCTAAAAATTGTCTTCTGATTTCCACAGATGTACCATGACACAAGCTCTTCCCATCTCTGTCACTGTTTGTGTGTGCGCGCTCATTCATACATACATACATACACACACAGGCACACTCACTAATTTTTTTTTTTTTAAAGATAATTCTGATTTAGAGCTATGCATGGGTCTGATATCCTATTAATGTGCTTAATTTTGTCTTTGGACAGTCAATGAGGGCACACTAGTTGTAAATTAGTTTTTTGGACTGAATTAGATGCTTAAACTTAGTAGATGTTTTAAAACAACTCTTTATAGTACATCATATATAAAAAAAAGTTTGCCGCCTTATATAGTCTGGCATGTGGGCTGATAAAATTCCTATAGTAGTGAGAAATGACAGATATTTTCAGTCCTTAGGGAAATTAAGACTACAGGTAAAGAGAAATGATAGCTTATAATGGGGCAGTTGGTGGTGAACTCTAATAATCTACAATCAGAAGGTTGGGGTTTCTTTTATGGGATGTAGTTTAATGATTATGTTCATAGAATAGGCTTGGTCTTGTATATTAGTTAGGAAATTATTTGTCTTAGTGCATCAGAAGTTCACATCTACATGGTTTAAACATGTTTTTGGTTTGTACATTTTAGAGCAGAGCTAAAGAGCTTCATATTGCATGACTAAAACTTGACCCCATTTTTAGAACAGCATCTCCACATTTCAGACTAACTTGAGCCCTCTACTAAACCTCATTCTATATTCTACTTGAATGAGTTTGATTACTTTACATGCACCCTCTAAGTGAGACAGAACAGTTGGTGTCTTTGCCACTAGCTCAGACTTTTATCTGTGTTACAGTGCTTACCAGCATCTTTTCTTACTTGTCCCTGAGTAATACTGTCTGTGTGTCATATTTGCTTCATTCACTCAATTTTATAGACATGCTGTGTTCTCTTTGCTAAGTTTTTTATGCAACTCTTGTTTTTTTTGTTGTTGTTGGTTTTTTTTTGTTGTTGTTGTTTTTGTTTGTTTGTTTGTTTGTTTGTTTTTGGTTTTGGGTTTTTGGGTTTTTTTTTTGGTTTTTCGAGACAGGGTTTCTCTATGTAGCTTTGTGCCTTTCCTAAAACTCACTCTGTAGCCCAGGCTGGCCTCCTGAGTGTGGGATTAAAGGTGTGTGCCACCACCGCCCGGCGGCTAAACTTTTTGAGAATAACAATGCTCTTTATGGTTAGAGTTCATTGTTTTGTATTTTATTCTTTATAATTTAAAATTGGAGAATTATGGGAATAGTGTTTTGTGGTGGGATATATGTACACTTGGGAACGATTGTTTTATTGAATTCTCATCATCACAGGCCTGAAACTGCTTTGGACCATGAGCAAATTCCTGCTGCTTATTCTGTAGAACATAGTCATCTGGAGACTCATTCAAAAACAGAGGCTGCTAGAGACTCAGGTGAAACAGAAGGACAAAAGTTTTTAAGCAGATCAGTGGAAGATGTAAGACCTCACCATGCTGATACAAATAATCAGTCTGCTTGTTTTGATGTGATTGATCAAAAGAGCTTACCTACTCCTCCAGAAGAGCGAATTTCGGCACTAGAAAGTCAACCTGCCCGGAAAAGAAGTGTTTCCCATGGATCTAACCATGCTCCAAAAGCAGAGGAGCAAAGAAACGAGCCCTCTGTCAGCCTTCCTAAAGTCAGCAGCAGGTGTATTGATTCTAAAGAAACTGTAGAAAAGCCAGAGGAGAAGCCAAGAAAAGATGGCTTTCTGCGATCTTCTGAAGGACCTAAACCAGAGAAAATATACAAATCTAAGTCAGAAACTCGTTGGGGTCCAAGACCAAGCTCCAACAGAAGAGAAGACGGTAATGATAGGCCTGTAAGAAGGTCCGGACCCATTAAAAAACCTGTGCTTAGAGATATGAAAGAGGAGCGGGAGCAGAGGAAGGAGAAAGAAGGCGAGAAGGTTGAAAAGGTCACGGAAAAAGTTGTTAAAACAGAAAAACCAGAGAAGAAAGAGCTTCCTCTTCCTCTACCACCTCCAACACCAGTTCAGGCACAGTCACTGGTTCCACCACCAGTTCAGCCAGAACCAGAGAAACTACCATCAACAGAACCTTCCGCTTTGGCTCAGAAGCCATCTCAAGAGAGTGAGAAGCCTTTGGAACCTGTGGCTAGTGTCCAGGTAGAGCCTCTGGTTAAAACTGGAAATCAACAAAATGTTGTAGCACCAACCGTCAAAGAAGAAAAGCAGCCCGAGAAAGTCATCCACAAAGACGTCGTTGGGGCAGAACGACCTCGGCCGGATTCTAGAGCACCAGTTAAAAAAGACTCCCCTTTACCAACTCCTAGGACCTACTGGAAAGACGCTAGAGAGAGAGATTGGTTTCCAGACCAAGGCTACAGAGGCAGAGGTAGAGGAGAGTATTACTCCAGAGGTCGAAGCTACAGAGGCTCTTATGGGGGTCGTGGCAGAGGTGGTAGAGGGCACGCTCGTGATTATCCTCAGTATAGAGACAGTAAGCCAAGAACAGAGCATGGTCCTTCAGGACCTCTCAGACAACGAGAAGAAAGTGAAACACGAAGTGAGAGTTCCGATTTTGAGGTTGTTCCCAAAAGACGGCGACAGAGGGGTTCCGAGACTGACACGGACAGTGAAGTTCCTGAAAGTGCCAGTGACAAGGATAGCTTAAGCAAAGGCAAATTTCCTAAAAGAGAGGAACGGCCTGAAAACAAAAAACCTGTCAAGCCCCAGGCTTTTAAGCCTGAAAATCATGTCCGAATAGACAATAGGCCATTAGAAAAACCTTATATCAGAGATGAGGATAAATCTAAACCAGGTTTCCTTCCTAAAGGAGAGCCTACAAGGAGAGGTAGAGGAGGAACATTCAGACGAGGTGGAAGGGACCCCGGAGGCCGACCATCACGCCCTGCCACCTTAAGAAGGCCTGCTTATCGGGACAATCAGTGGAACCCAAGGCAAGCAGAACCTCCAAAACCTGATGATGGAGAGCCACCAAGAAGACATGAGCAGTTTATGCCTGTACCCGCAGATAGACGACCTCCAAAATTTGAACGGAAATTCGACCCAGCTAGAGAGAGGCCACGGAGGCAACGTCCAACTCGACCACCAAGGCAAGATAAGCCTCCTCGATTTAGACGGCTAAGAGAGAGAGAGGCTGCTTCAAAAACAAGTGAGGTGTTGGTACCTGCAAATGGCACAGTTAATAATGTTGTTCAAGAACCAGTTAATCCCCCTGGGGACATATCTGGAAATAAGACCCCAGATTTGTCTAATCAGAACTCTTCAGATCAGGCAAATGAGGAATGGGAAACTGCTTCTGAAAGTAGTGATTTCAATGAGAGACGTGAGAGGGATGAAAAAAAAAATGCCGATGTGAGTTCACAAGCAGTTGTAAAGGCTGGAGAGAATGTTTTGCCTCCAAAAAGAGAAATAGCAAAGAGGAGTTTTTCTAGTCAGAGACCTGGAGTTGATCGACAGAATCGTCGTGGCAACAATGGCCCACCCAAATCAGGAAGGAATTTCTCAGGTCCTAGGAATGAAAGAAGAAATGGCCCACCATCAAAAAGTGGAAAGAGAGGGTGAGTACTGTATTTAATTAAAACTTGTGCCTTTATTTAAAAAAGGTAAAAGTAGGAGATGTAGTGGAAGTTGCATAATTAGGTAGAGGAACAAGACATTGTCCTCCCCTAGTGCTGTTTTCTGTTCTTAGGTGTAGTGGTCCTTGAGTGGCAGGGCTTATGTGTATGGATCCTCACGTGCTGAGTCATGTCTTCTAAAACGGTTGTCTTGGGAATGTGTCTATAGCTTTGGAAGTACTAGTACATCGAGAAAGGAACATGCAGTTTCTTCATTTGTTAATTGCTCCTGACACTAATGAGTAGCTCTCCTCTTTTCATTTTTCAAGGGGTGTTCTACGACTTGAATGTTACAGACATGTATCCTGGCACTCTGTGCTGTTTGCTCAAAAGTCCTTATTGAGTTGTCAACATATACTCCCTTCTGGAGTTATAAACTTTATAATAAATAATCCAACTAGAGAGACCCAGAAAGCAAATTCCTGCCTATCCACCCTGGTTTGGGTTGCCAACATGAGTCCCATGGCATTTGATATTTGTTTATTTTTAAAGAGTTTTCAGGACTGGGGATATAGTAGCTTAGTTGGTAGAAGTGCTTACCTAGAACTACATAAAACCAGGCGTGGTGGTACATACCTGTCATCTCAGCGTTTAAAAAGGTAGAGATAGGGAATCACAAGTTCAAGGTCATCCTTGACTAGAAAACCTGGGAGATTAAACTTTCTTTAAAAAAAAAAAAAGGAAGAAAATTTTTAAAAACTATGCTAAGGTTGCCCTTTTCTTTTAAATATGAAAATGTTGGTTAGATGTTAATATTGGTTTCAGTATTAAGGATATGAAGAAAAACCAGAGTATGGGATATTGTAGCATGTACTACACAGTAAGCATTCCTTAGGCAAAATTTCCTAGGTTTGTGTGGGGATGGAGAGAGTGCTTAGTGGTTAAGAACTCTGACAGCTCTTCTAGAGGACCTCAGCACCCATGTGGTAGCTAACAACCCCTTTCTGGGGGGTCCTCCAACTCCCTCTTCTGGTCTCCTTGGGCAGTACACACATGGTCAGACATAAAAACAGGCAAAACAAACACCTTGGTGGTCTAGTTTCACATTATAATACTTAAAATTTTGATCTGACGTTTGAGCTGTGTAGATAGCAGCCACTTTAAACTTACAGAAATACCAGTGGATGGTTGTAGTTGTAACAAGAGTTTTGAAGGGCCCATTTGGAAGAAATAAGTAATTCTTCAAGTGTTGGGAGTCATGTCAGGCATTTAGTAATCCTTTATCTTGAGAAATTGTGTGGACTGATATGAAAATGAATCAGTAAGCCCTTTTTTAATGAGTTTTCCTATTAAAGGTGTTTACATGTTTACATCAGTATCTAAAACTCTAAGGTAGGTATGAGTGTGTGTGTGTGTGTGTGTGTGTGTGTGTGTGTGTGTGTGTGTGTGTAAGGGTGTGTGTGTACGTGTATGCGCGCGCCAAATAGTATAGCATTTAGAGTGCTATTTTAAATCCTATTTTTTTATATAGTGCCCACTTTAGGAGTGGATCCAATCATAGATATGACAGATTTTTTTCCTATATCCATGTTGTAGCTCATTTATAAAATATTGGGCAAATGGACACAATAACCTCCTGAGGTTTAGAATTCCAGAATTTAATTTATTGGGGAGAACTTCAAAGACCTCTACTGTATTGAGATCCTCAGTTTTAGTGAGGTTATGCCTTCAGAGGCTGCTGCGACAGACTGGGCTGGGCCTTCTTCAGTGCTTGTGTGTCTTAGGTATGACTTTACAAACTGCCAGGAAGAACATTTTTCTATTGTTGGAGTATGTGGAAATCATCTCATTATTTTCTGTAGGCCATTTGATGACCAGTCCTCAGGCACAGCTGGTGTTGACCCTGTCAATGGTAATGCTGCACACCACCAAGAAGGAGCACCTAATGGTGCTGGACAAAAGAATTCCAAGGATGCTACTGGAAAAAAGAGAGAGGACCCCAAACCAGGTCCTAAAAAGACCAAAGAGAAAGTAGATGCTCTCTCACAGTTTGATCTCAACAATTATGCAAGTATGTTACAAATTTCTTTATTTCTTGGTAAATTTAAGCAGATAATATGAAAACATAAGGAAAAAAGCGTTAGACCTTTGTGTTAGACATAGAGCTGACTGTGAAATTCTAACTTGGCTTAAACTTTATGAACATTGAGTACAATTTTTGTTAATGATACTCAGGAAGGTTTCACTGTTCTTCATGGAATTGGGGGTGTGGATTAAAATTGATCAAACCAGTAAAATTGCAAAATAGGCATGAGAAAGCACAGGAAAACATTAAGTGAAGATTTTTAATTAGAACTGAAGCGGTTCTGAATCTTTCTTTTTAAAAAGAAAATAAATGGTCAACTGAGTTGTTAGGGTCTAAAAATCCAGGAAGAATCCATCTGGAAGACCGGGTTCGAGCAAACAGAAAATTTATTGAAAAAGGCTGATTTTAAAGGAAAAAAACAAAAGAGGGCAATCCTTCAATTTCAACCAATCATAACAGAACATGGGGATATGCAATTAGGGACTTTCTATGGTGGCAGGCCCCCAGCCTATTAGGAGAATGTTGCCTCTCTCCTCGTTTCAAATACCTTGTGCCTTCTTTACCCCGTTTGTTGTGATGTGAGGTGGATGAGTGAAGAGCTGAAGTGGATATACTGTTAGTTACAAGAGTTGCTTCAGCAGAAGCATTGCAGTACCTCTAGTTGGCCTGGCAACAGCTACCAAGTAGCTCACGGACAGGTATTCTCAGTAAGCTACTGGAATGCTGCCACACACCTGTAATCTCAGCACTTGACAGGTAGAGGCAGGATGATCTGGAGTTCCAGGCCAGCCTCGGCTGCACACGTTTGAGACTATTGTGGGCTACATAACACCCTGTTTTAAAAATGCAATTTTAGGACTTTTTTTTTTTTTAAACAAAAATCTTATTTATGAAACTTTTTCATTTAGGTGCAATAGCTTTGAAAATTGCTAATCCATTATGGGCCATCTAAGTTATACTCTAAAATTTTTCGTGCCTGCAGGTGTTGTTATAATTGATGATCATCCTGAAGTAACTGTAATTGAAGATCCCCAGTCAAATTTGAATGATGATGGCTTTACTGAAGTGGTATCTAAAAAACAGCAAAAGCGGTTACAGGATGAGGAACGCCGAAAGAAGGAAGAACAAGTTGTACAGGTTCAAAGCTCATCATTTTGTTGCTAGTTCATATGTTGTTTTTCAGAGCATGTTAGCAAATGGTCAGGGTTACTCAGAACGGCATTTGTATTTAGCTAAAGAGCTGAGTGACTTTTATCTTCACACCTGGGAACTCTAGTAGGATATTTTCAAAATTAGGTTATTTTCAAAATGAGATAATTGCTGTAGCTTGTCTTTTTCCAACAATAGATTTTATGTGTAGAATTCAGATTGTTTTAAATTTTCTTGGAAATTGAATGGTCACAGTGCACAGATCCAGAAGTGACTTCTTGTCTTTTTTGGGGAGGGTTCGGGGAAGGTCACATTCATTTCAAACTTTGTTAAATATTTCGGATTGGGGGCAGGGGTACTTAAGCCTGTATATAAAAATATTTTTTTCTCTTTATTATCTTTTCTTCTTGTAGTTTTAAATCTCATTAGTGCCCTGACAGTGTCCAATTTGGAAAATTGAAATAGCCAAGTTAGCACTAGGAAGTTCTAGAAATAGTAGGATGTAAAAATTACTTGTGTGCATTGTTTCTTTGGGCATATTATTGACAACAGAAATGGTTCTGTCAATTTCTTTAAGGTGTGGAACAAAAAAAATGTAAATGAAAAAGGAAGAGGTCAGACTTCTAAACTCCCTCCAAGGTTTGCCAAAAAACAAGCCACAGGGACTCAGCAAGCGCAAGCTCCAACCTCTGCTGCGGTTTCCGTCTCTTCCTCAGCTGCAGTTTTAACATCCCCAGCAGCTTCAGTTCCAGCCTCCACCCCAGCTCCAGTTCTGGTTCTGGCCTCAGCCACTGCTCTAGCTCCAGCCTCCACCCCAGCTCCAGTTCTCACTTCAAGCCCAGCTCCAGCTCCAGCTCCAGCTCCAGCCCCAGCCCCAGCCCCAGCCCCAGCCCCAGCCCCAGCCCCAGCCTCAGCTCCTGTTCCAGTGTCCACTTCATCCTCAGTCACAGCCTCTTCCTCACCCCAAGTCTCAGTTCCAGCTCCAACTCCTGTCCTTGCCTCAGCATCAACTACAGCCTCCGTCCCCATTCTTGCCTCAGCTTCAATTCCTATCCTTGCTTCAGCACTGGCACCAGCTTCAGTTTCTTCCCCAACCCCAGGAGTCTCAGCCCCAGCTGTACCAACTATTTCAACATCAACTGCCCCAGCCTCAGCCCCAGCAGCCTCAGTTCCACTTGCCCCAGCCTCGGCTGCAACCACTGCCCCAGCCCCAGCCGCACCAGTACAGACTCAGACACAGACCCACAAACCAGTCCAGAGTCCACTTCCACCTCCAACACCATCTTCAAAACAGCCACCACCTTCAATTAGATTACCTTCAGCTCAAACATCTAATGGCACAGATTATGTAGCCACAGGAAAATCCATCCAGACTCCACAATCCCATGGTCCTCTAACAGCTGAATTGTGGGATAACAAAGTGGCTGCTCCAGCTGTGCTGAATGACATCTCTAAAAAATGTAAGTATGCAACAGAAAGAAGTATGGGGTAGGAAAATATATAGAAATACTGACATTGTTTTCTACTTTACTTAAAAATTCAGTTAAGCTTGTTTTTTTCCACCTAGCCATCTCGTTTTTTCCTAGTAGGGAGCAGTAGTAGCAATTGTTGTTAGTTTCTTTCTTGAAATGGTTTATTTCTAAAATAAGCATAGTTAACAACAACATACTTTTTTTTTATATTGAGATTTCATATCACCCTAGTTAGAATGGCTGTTAGAAAAACCAACAAATGCTGGTTGAGAAAAAAGGAAACCCTTATACATAACTAGTAAATTAGCTCTGCCAATATGAAAATCAGTGTGCAGGTTCTTAAAAAAAAACTAAAAATAGAATTACCATAGGATCCAGCTCTTCCATTCCTGGGTAAATATCTGAAGGGATTTATGTCTCAGTAGAGATGCTCAAGCTTTGGTGTTTATTTAACAGTATTCACAATAGCCAATATAAGTCATCAGCCCAGATGCCTATTAACAGATAAATTAGTAAAGTTCTAGTATAACACAGTGGAATTTTACTCAGCCATAAAGAAGGATGAATTATGTCATTTGCAGAGAAATGAATGGAAAATGGGGATCAACATGTTAAACAAAATAATCCAGATTCACAAGAACAAGTAGTGTGTCTTAATGTGTGCTTTAGATTGTATGTGAATGGGGGAGGGGAGTGCACACAGGTAAAAGTAAAGAGGAACTACATGGAAGAAAGAAAAGATATGTTGGCCAACAAGAGAGGTATTGGAAGGTTAGAAAATAAAGCTACGTGTTTCTCTCATGTGGAATGTAAAGTATGTATAAACTTAGGAAAGAGAACCATTTAAGATGAAGTGGAAGCCGGGCGGTGGTGGCGCACGCCTTTAATCCCAGCACTCGGGAGGCAGAGCCAGGCGGATCTCTGTGAGTTTGAGGCCAGCCTGGGCTACCAAGTGAGTTCCAGGAAAGACGCAAAGAGCTACCCAGAGAAACCCTGTCTCGAAAAAAACCAAAAAAAAAAAAATACAGGCTGAAGCCGGGCGGTGGTGGCGCACGCCTTTAATCCCAGCACTCGGGAGGCAGAGCCAGGCGGATCTCTGTGAGTTTGAGGCCAGCCTGGGCTACCAAGTGAGTTCCAGGAAAGACGCAAAGCTACACAGAGAAACCCTGTCTTGAAAAACCAAAAAATAAAAAAAGAAATAAATAAATAAGATGAAGTGGAAAGAAGGGCACCATAGCATGAAAGGGTAGAACAGCACATGTTTTATGTAGACAAAGTGATAATATATGTGTGTAACAGACCTTGAATGGACCTTAACTATTTTGACATGTAAGAATCTATTAGCTTGATAATGCACACACCGTAGAAGATAGGCAAGTCTGAATTCAAGAACAGCTAGAACTACAAGGAGAAACCCTGCTGGGGTTGGGTTAGTGGGGGCATTGTGAAAAAATCTGTGATGTAGAGAATTGTTTTATTGTCAGGCTACCATTGCAACTAAGGATTGAATATTAGACTTCAACATCTAAATTGTAATGGTCACATTTTTCTCAATGACTTTTAGTAGGTCCTATTAGTCCACCACAGCCACCTTCAGTCAGCGCATGGAATAAGCCCTTGACGTCATTTGGATCAGCAACTTCATCAGAGGTAAGAATAGACTGACTGGCATTGATGGGATTAGTGACAGTTTTTTACCAAATTCCCCCCAAGTGTCCACCTTGAGATTTCTACCAGGGTTCAGAATAGATGCTACAAGCGGCTAAGGATACTACTCTGAGGGCTATTCAATGAATCTAACACACTGAGTTCTTTAGTCCATTCATTTTATTCTTCCAAGTCAATTCTATCTACACAGTTTCTTTTCTGTTCTCATGCTTAGCTCCTCTCAGTCCTCCTGCTCTCAGTCTCTTCTGCTGTTCTCTCATCTCTACCTAGTTCTTTCCATCTTGGTCCTCATCTTGTTCTTCTCAGTCAATTCCCCTCTTCTACTGTTCTCTCCTCTCTAGCTAGTTCTTTCCATCTTCATCCTCATCTTGTTCTTCTCAGTCAGTTCCCCTCTCTGCTGTTCTCTCATTTCTATATAGTTATTTCCATCTTCTTTCTTGTTTTCTGTTTCCCCAAATATGAAGGGGTGTGTGTGTGTGTGTGTGTGTGTGTGTGTGTGTGTGTGTGTGTGTGTGTGTGTGTGTACACGTACATACATACATATCTCCATTAATTAACAACTTGTTAGTAAAAACTACAAAATAAACTCTCAGGGACAAGTATTCTGATTAGAGTCACACTTGGCAAGACTTGGTCAGCTTAATTGGTGATTGACAACAGCTGTAGGTTGTAAAAGTTCTGGCTATCTCTTAAAGGGATAGCTACAAGGGTTACAAGGGAAGAAACAAATGAGAGATTTAAGGAAAAGGCAAAGAATACATGTACTATTATATGTGATTAATAATATCCAGACATGGTTAGTCAGTTAACAGCCTTTTTCTGTTAGTCACTGAATCTCAGGACCTATATGTAATTAGTCTACTGAGCCTAAAAGTCTTGCGCTAAAAACTATTATAGAAATAAAAACAAAGTGTTAATTATTATTTGAAACAGAGTGGGGAGGTACTAGTGGAGGAAGCTTAGGTCAACATAGGAGCTATTGATCTCTAGAAGGACTAAGATATACCAAAGCCAGACACCTGCACTATCATTTCTGGTTCACTATAATTCTTCTGAAGAGTTTTGATCCAGCAAGGCCAGGCATGTGCAATTCTGCTCTGTGAAAGTTCTATGAGGACATTTTGTCTGGCCAATATTTACCTTGTCAGTGGTTAAGGGTGGAGAGCAAGACCTCTAATGGAACAGTAGATCTAGTATGAAGCATATTTTAGTATGTTTCTATTTATAAAAATTGTATGGTTAAGTAAGAAACCATCTTCTAGACCATCCACAACTAAGTGTGTCTATAACATTGAGATGCAGTCATGAGATTGCATGTACACATAACATGGAAATGCACAGTAAATGGGGAGAATCATAGCTGTTATTGCTCAAGAAGTTTACAATAAGAAACAGCCAATTCATTCAAAAGGCAGTAATTCCATAACGCCTTGCGTGATGGTTTCCTCTAACAGAATCCTTAGTTGGGTTGACCTTCTGTATTCTAGTTGTCACCTGCTGTATACTCCCATGGTCTTTGCTACCAGCAGTTCTCAATAGTTTCTAAATAATTTCTCATACTTCATTGTAGCTCATTATTAACCTAGGAGGGCCACTGAAACAGATTAAGCTCATGCCCAGAATTTCTGATCCGTTAGGTCTGGGTTGGGTTTTATACCCAGGCGATATTAATGCTACTGGTCCTCTATATTTACAAGCTGTTTTTTCACCTTTAGCTAAAGGTTAAACATTTATTTTCATTCTGATATCCAGAAAAGACCTTATGACAGGCCGTAATACAGTCACTATTTTCCAGGCTTTCCTCATTTTCATATATAATAGGATAATTACAATTTACGGGTTACTGTTCTGTCCTTTCTCACTGAGTGCAGTATTGGTAAATGATGTTTTTGTCAGTGGCCATTCTCCCTTCTAAGTTTGCAAAACTAGTGCTGAAGCTAGGACTAAAAGACACTGTCCTCGCAGGGCTTCCATTATAGTGTCTGGAGAAGTCGGTAATCCTTCTGTTTAATGAAGAGACTAGGCAAGGATTTTGTCCAAGTAGATGGAAGTAATTTAAAGGGGCCAAGAGATTCTACTTGTGTGGTATTTGAATAAAGATTTGGAGGAGATACAGAGAGTAGGCTAGTCAAATATGAGGAAAACAAGGTCAGTTCTCAGTTCAGGGAACAGCAGTTATGAAAGTCATGAGGCAAGAACAAATCTGGTGTATTCAGAGTAGTCAGAGAAGTTCATTGGCTGGAGTGAACAAAGAACAGAGTTGAGGGGTTATAGGGGCTTTGGAAGACATGGAAGACCATTGGAGGGTGTCATGGATGCAAAGGAGTGCCAGGGCATGACTATAGATTGTTCTGTTAGGAATTGTCTGTATGGGTGAGGGGGCAAGGAAGTTAAAATGACAGTAGTCAAATGATAAACCAAAGAAATGACATTGAAGGTCATTGAGCTTATGTGATAAATGTAGAATGTCAGGAAAAGGAGAGCTATTGGTATGAACAGGAAGAAAGAAAAAAATTCTCATCAGTTTCAAATGAGCTACACATGAATCAGAATTAGTGCTGAGAATAAGAAGTTCATATAGCTACATCTAAGATGTTATTGCCTGGGCTCAAGTGTTAAGAGTTCTTACTGCTCTTGCAGAGGGCTCAAGTTTGGCTCTCAGCACCCACATCAGGTGGATCAGAGTTACTTGGAACTCCAGTTCTAGGGGGATCTGATTGATGTCTCTGGCATCCATGGACACCAATATTCAGGTGTACTTACCTACCCACACACGCATAAACGTGATTTAAGTGAAAATGTCAATGTAGCTGGCTCTTAAAGAGCCTGTAGGTCAGAAGAGTCTGATTTGAAGATTTATTTGGGAAGTCATTAACATATCAACATGCAAAGCAGTGAGGTTGGATGAAAGGTAAAAATGAATTATGAAGATAGAAAAAGGGAAAAAATGAAAAATAAGTGAGGCTTTCCAGCTCAGAAAGGTGGGAGGTGTAACTGTCAACTGATTGGAGAGGCATCTGAAAAGAGGGGGTGGATCAAATGTGTCAAATGCTGCTAATAGGAGAAGTAGTACCTGTGCTGAATTGACAGTTGAAATTAATGCTGTAGGGCCACTGGTGACATTGACATGGGAAAATGAGGTGAGTAGAGAGAGCTTTAGGGTACAGTCATGTGCTACGTAAGAATTCTATAGTCAGAATGTCTTTTTTGGACCACCAATGCCATGTTGTGCACATAAGGCATCAGCTGGCGGCTAGTCTTGGTTTTAGTATACCTTGATACTTGCAGAACAAAATAATTGTCTTGTAATGGATTCCTCCTAATGTGCCCTGTTATGTAATGTACAGTAAAACAGTGGGGTAAGATGTGCAGAAAAATGGGGAAGTAAATAGGATGGAATGGTTTCAGTTTGTTTTCTCTTTACGGAAGTCTTTCTGTTACCCTATCTGCCTTTCCATTTTTCTAACATGACAGGCCTGGAGTAGGCTTCATCATCTATTTTGGTATTATAGTTCTTTGGAGACCTTTAATAACTCAAGTCACTGTATTTCAATATAAGAGCCTCCGTTTAATATCTGTTGTTGGTATTAGCATTATTATGATTCATCAGAGTGCATTTCTTACAAAGTAATTTTATTCATATTGATATGAAAAGGTTCAGTATGGAAAAATTTGTTGATTGGCTACAGAAATTGTCTTGCAGGCATTCTGCAACTGTATGTTTTGGTAGTATCTTGTTGATCTCCCGCACTTTGCTTCTCACCATCTTCGCATTCTTTGCAATTTCCAGCTGGAAACTGCTTTCTGAGTGAAAGCTGTTCCTTTACCTTGAAATTTTTATGTTATCAAAATTGGCATTTCAGACATTGGAGAGAATTCCCTAATGTCTTTCCATTATGTTTTGTTTGAGTATACATGTGTGTGTATGTGCATGTCGAGATCAGTGGTCATCCTGAAGTGTCATTCCTCAGGAGTCATCAACATTGCCTTTTGAGCCACTGTCTCTGACCAGAATGTGAGGCTTAGACTAAGCTGGCTGGCCCTTGAAGCCTAGGGATATCTACCTTTTCACCTCTCTGTTGCTGGGATTTCAAGTACATCCCAGTCCAAGCCCACTTACTTGGCTTTCTACATGGGTGCTGTGATCAAGATCAGATACTGATGATTATAAAACAAGTACTTCAATAACTGAGCTATTTCTTCAGCCCATAGGTTTTTTTGTTTTGTTCTGGTTTTTGTTTGTTTGTTTTCTTTTTTCGGTTTTTCAAGACAGGGTTTCTCTGTGTAGCTTTGCGCCTTTCCTGGAACTCACAGAGATCCGCCTGCCTCTGCCTCCTGAGTGCTGGAATTAAAGGCGTGCGCCACCACTGCCCGGCCTTGTTGTTGATGATGTTGTTGTTGTTGTTGTTGTTGTTGTTTTTAAGATGTATATGTGGTTATGTGCGCAGTTGTGGGTACCAAAAAGAGGCCAGAAGCATCTACTACCATGAAGCTGTAGTGTCCGGCAGCTTTGAGCCGACTGACCTGGGTACTAGGAACCAAACATGGGTCAGTCTGCACAAGGAGCCTTCTTTCAGGCCCTGCTAATAGTCCTTGCTTATCCCTTTGGTTAACTTAGAGAACTCAGAACAGTTATTCTCTTATAGTTACTGTTGGTCATTTTCTATTCATTCACCTATATATGAGGTTGTAATTTCTACATCATTAGTCATTTTCAGTTGCAAATTGCTGTATCATTCTCCCTTAATGACTCTAACTCCCTATAGAAATTTCAACATTGACTAAAATAAAATTGTATTCTAGCTTACAACAGTTTTGTCTAGACTTAAGTGACAAGTCATTTGGCTCCCATAGTATAATTAGCCACACTAAGGTCAGTAAGGTCAGAAATAATATGGAAGTAGCAATTTATAAGTTACTGTATGTAAGTGCTTCATGCATCTAGCCTTCTGCATGCCATCTTCCATCACTGTCAACTGGTGTGCTCTGGCCTCACTCACCTTTTGTGCTGTTAACTTTTACATTAGCTGTTCCAATTTTTCTGAGACACTTTCTATTGGTAGTTAGTCCTTTCCAGTATGTTTTGCTCAGGAATTTCCTCTATTCTAAAGGGCCATTTGCGTATTTCTGTCTTAGCTTTTCGTAATATCCTCTATCCAACTTTTTGTTCCTTCATTTTACCCAAGAAAATCCAAATGATATTGCCTAGCACAAAGAATATGTTCAGAAAAGTAGTGTTTTAATTGGTGGCTTCATTCCATGGGTGTACATATCACCTCATCATTCACATAGTACTTTGTTGGGTTTTTTATTTAAGTTACTCTCAAATCAGACTTCCAAGAAATTATTGATGCTGATAGTTACTATCTTTCCCATTTATACCTTTGGCATTTGTTGATTTTACATTTGTTTTAATGATGGCATAACTTGAAGCTTTTCTTGATTTTTTTCTCATCACAGAGCTAGCTAGGACTTTGAACACTTTAACTGTATACATATTTCAGTCAAGTCTGAACTTTGTTTACTGAGATATACCAAATGTTAAACATTATTTTATTAGGGAACAAGAAATGGTCAAGAGAATGGTGTGGAAATTGGAATTGACACAATTCAGTTTGGTGCTCCAGCTTCAAATGGGAATGAAAATGAGGTGGTTCCTGTGCTTTCAGAAAAACCAACCGACAAAGTTCCTGAACCTAAAGAGCAGCGTCAGAAACAGCCACGGGCAGGGCCTATTAAAGCTCAGAAGGTGAGTACTGTTCGTAAGGGAGATGTGATTCTGAAATGGACAAAGAAAATGATTTTAAAGTTGGATTTAATGTTTCATAAATCTTTCACTATAATGAAGTTTGTCATAAACATTGACTTTAGCTTCCAGATTTGAGTCTGGTAGAAAACAAAGAACATAAACCTGGTCCCATTGGAAAGGAGCGATCATTAAAAAATAGAAAAGTGAAAGATGCCCAACAGGCAGAGCCAGAAGGACAGGAGAAACCCAGCCCAGCTGTGGTCAGAAGCACAGACCCTGGAGCAGCAAAAGAAACCAAAGCTGTCTCAGAGATGTCTGCTGACATAGGAGCAATGATCTCGGTGTCATCTGCAGAATACGGCACTGACGCAAAGGTAGGCAGCATGCCCTGGTGCAGAATGAGTGGCAGGGGCATCAGTGATGGACTTTTTATGCTGAGCATTGTATTATGCTGGTTGTTCTTTAGCAAGCTTTCATTTTGTGAGATACTCATGATATAAATGTCTGCGAAAAAGTTACATTTTGTAGAAGTTTGTATTTTGTTGAATGGGCTTAAATAGAAAACTATAAGATCAGAATTCTTTCCCTTGAGTTTGTAAGCATTTCTGTCTAGTATAGCTTTATCTGGCCTTCTATTATAATTTTAAATTTAAAAAAGGGACACGCTTGGAACAAATCACTGTTTCTGTGGTTGAACACTAAAAATATTGACTTGCTTTTGGTTTCCACATTGAATGAAAGATGTGTATCTTTTAAAATACAATCGGCTCCCTTATGTCTCTGAGTTCAGGATTTCTGAACTCAAATCTGGATCAAAAATACTCTCCCTGAAAAATAGGGGGTGGTTGTTGTTGTTAGGAGGTTTTGCTTGTTTGTTTTGTTGTCTTCTTTAAACTATTATATCCAGTAATAGAACATTTTGTTGTATTACATGTTGTTAGTAATGTAGAGAAGATGGTAGTTTGTGTAGAGATACTGTAACATTTTATGTAAAAGACTCCAACATCCACATGTCTGCAGGCCCAGTATGTAACTAGATGTGCCTGTAAAGGCAAGTTATGGAAAGTGACTGGGAACAGATACTTGTCTTCATCTGGAGACTTATATTTCTTGAAAATGAAGGAAGAAGTGATATTTTATGTTCATTTTTTAATAGTTACCTCTTTTTTGTCATACACCTTTAATTCTTCATGTAAGTAGGAACTAAAACAGTCCTACGTTACCATATTCAAAGAAGAGATTCTCGATAATAAATAAGATAATAACTCACAAATATTTAATCTTGTTGATAGCCTCCTACCAAGTGCTGTGAAATACATTTTAAATATGTGCAAAAGTCTAGCAGCAATTGAGATATTGTTCCTTGAAGGTACCATGCTTTACTGGCCTTCTATTAGTAGGTGGGTTGAAATTTAGGGCATAAAGTTTTATGATCTCTTTCCTTCCAAAACAGCTTTACCTCTATTCTATTAAACTGTCAAAAGGTGACCTATAAATTCGGCTTTAAAAGGACTTTTTCTGTTACTCCTCCACAGGAGTCTGTAACAGACTATACTACACCTTCTTCTTCTCTGCCTAACACTGTGTCTACTAATAATGCAAAGATGGAGGATACTTTGGTTAATAATGTAAGTAATCAGAGATTTGACGGGTTTGTTTAGAAACCTGGCTGTCATCTAATACATTGTCTTGTCTATATACACTGTCATGACCAATATTGGACTCTTAACAGGGAATGAGTTGATAGTAAGTTTGTGTTTATGAGCACTGTAGTAAATATGCCTACTAAAGTCAAAGTCGTCGTTATCTCTCTCTCCCCCCACCCCCCCAAAAAAGAAGTTAGCAGCTTTCTAAGACCAAGACTTGTGTTAAGGCTTGGTTTTGTTTTGGGTTTTTTTGTATGTATGTTTGGTTGGTTGGTTGGTTTTTTTTTTTGTTGTTGTTGTTGTTGTTTTTAATGGACATTCATCCTGTTAACCTAGTTTGGTTAAAAAAAAAAAGTGTTGGGTTTTCCCTTATATACTACAGTTAATTTTATTTGGTTGAATAATTTTGTTCACAAATGAGACTTTTTTTTAATGGTGCAATGAAGCTGTACTCATTTAAGGTCATTAGAAGAAAAGGAACTGTTTCCAAAGAATCAAGCATTTCTTTTGAAATTTAAATACATAGACCGGGCTTTTCCAGCATTCCTTTTATGAAAATTGAGCTATAATATGTACATAGATATTCCCAAATTTCTTAAATTCTCTAGTATTAGGTGATGTTATGTGGCAAATTAAGCCTTAGTTTACCAGGGACGAGATTGTAATTGGATGTTTAAAGTCAGTACAGTATGTCGTTTTGCCTAGTTCACTATAGATGAGAAAATACTCTAAATATGCTAACTAACTTGCTGTGGTCACATGCACAGTATAATTTTGGACATCTAAAAGTTTCTTGTATGTTCCTCACTTTATAAAGGAGAAATTTTGTCATCTGATCTCCCTTTTAAATATAAATTTCTATAATAATCAAAAACTATCATATTTAAATGTTGATTGTTCTTTCCAAAAGTACTTTTATAGCTACAGTTAAAATTTTCTTCAAAAGGACTTAATCATTTTCAGTATAAAAATCTTGATTTTTGTCTTATATTTTTCCCTCATGCTGTCTATTCGTCCCTCTAGCATCAAGTATGTGGAGTTTTAGAAAGGTGAGCTACATTAGGGGTCAGTTCATTAAAATGATAGTCCAATCAAAGCACTTGCACTACAATAGCTCAGGAAAAGGAATAGCGAGGAATGCGTTGTACTTGATATTGAGAACTTGATTAACTTGTCCAGTTTGTAGAAGTTGTAAGATGCTTCATGCACCAAACCCTGGAACCTACCACTCCCCTCTCCACCTTTAGAGAGAAGTTTCCTGTGTAATAGGAAACTTAGGAAAAAAGAGCTGTTTGTTGAGTTTCAATGCTGATTCCACTGCTGGATGATGAGCCAGTAACGTTACAGTAAAGTTCATGAGTTTATGCTTAAAATAAGGAAAAAAAAAATTTGTAAGATGTCACTTTTTCAGCTGGGCTGTGTGATGAGCACCTTTAACCCAGGCATTCAGGAGGCAGAGGTAGGCAGATACTCTGAGTTCAAATCCAGACTGATCTACAGAGTGAATTTCAAGGTAGCCAGGACTACATAGAGAAACCCTGTCTTGGGGGGGGAGGGTGTCACTTTTTTTCAGAAAGTGTATGATGCTCTCTGCTGATCTATAATCTGAAATATAATTGGATAAATGTACATTTTATAATTCTCTAAACCTATAACATTTTGTCACTTAAAAATATATACAGAGATGAGCACTTCATTAGTCTCCATTTGTTCCTAAGGCCAAGTAGCATGTGACTTTGTACACTGACAACTACTTTGAAGGAAGAAATCCAGTCTTGTGTATATGTGAATAATCTACATTTGATTATTAGTAATATATCGAAGGCATTTATAAAAGCAAAAACATAATTTAGGTTAGGGCTGTTGAACATTCAGTTTAGATGACTTCAGTGTTGCTTCCATGGGCCAAGTGTGTAGGTTTATTTCTGTTGAGACTTAATGTAGGCTTTTTTTAAAAAAATGTAACTTTATGTGTATATGTATGAGCTTGAGTGAGTTTATGTGCACCACTTGCTTGCAGGAGTCCCCAGAGGGCAGAAGAAGATGTTAGATAATCTGGAACTGTATTGTTGTGAGGCACCAGGAACTGAATCTGGGTCCTCTGTAAAAGCAATAAGCACACCGAGGCATTTCTCCAGCCCCAGTATAGGCTTTTCAAATCAATGTCTTAACTTGTGTAGTAGCTCGTATTACCCAGTATTAAAATTATTGTGTATTTTGAATGTCCCACAGAGTTAAGTACAGGTGACATTTTTTATTACTGTAGTTTAGCTAGTTTCAAGATTTATTAAAGAATCTTTGTTAACTAATAATACATGTTTTTGAGAGATCTCCATTAGAGATAGTCCATAGTATCTCCGTGATTTTTTTTTTAATCTGAAATCACCCCAAGGAAATTTTTTCTGAATAAATGAGTGAATCATCAAAAAAACAAACGTAAAGCAGTACACATAGTAAAATTACAAGATCTAGGGACTAATGAGGTAAAAAAAAAATGCGGATAGTGCATAATAGCTAAAGTTTCTAACATTATTTGCTGTAGTCCTCTTCTTATACAATAGAATGGTTTGATGTGATGAGGTAAGGATGTATTCCATACTTGGCTCCAGAGGTTGCTCTTGTTCTTGAATCTAGGTATAAAGAGGCTGATTGTATTGTAGGAAAGAGGTTTTCTACCTTTGCATTGCTAGGTTAAATACTCAGGACAAGAAAGGCGTATTTCTTAGAACTTGATTGCACAGGGTATGGCTCTTGGATCAGTAGTATTAACACTACCTGGGAATTTGTTTAAAACACAAGATTTCGCTTAAAGTATAAAGAATACTACCTGAGTAGTATGTATTTTATGTTCAAGGCAGTTTCTTTTTTTCCTGACAGTTTGTGCATACCCAAGCGGATAGTTTTTCTCTTCAGAACTTTAAACATAGTTATCAGCCTCTGTAAGCATGGTAACTTAACTAGTCAGATACAGCACCCTTAGAATACATTAGCACTGTGACTAATGGGGCTTTTGCAGCACACTTAGATTGTGATATGTCGCCTGCCTTTTCAGGTGCCCCTGCCCAACACCCTTCCCCTCCCTAAGAGGGAGACTATACAACAGAGCTCCAGCCTAACTTCAGTTCCTCCCACTACTTTCAGCCTCACCTTCAAGGTATGTACAGCGTCCATCTCCAAGGCTCCTTAATCATTGCATGCAAGGGACCTAAGTTCACAGTAATAGTGGTTTTTAAGTTATGTCAAAGTATACCTTAAAATTACGTTGGCTTTTAACACTGCTTGGCAATGGCAAGTCTATTATGTTTGTGAATTTTTACATAAAAATAGAATTACAGTTTGTGATTTGTACTCAAATACAAAGTACTAATTATGGTAAGAATGCTTTTTTTTCCTTATAAGTCATCTGTAAATTCAATGTATGCAGGAATATTTTATGAAAAGGCTATTAACATAGCATATTTGATATTGGGAAGTTTTGGTTTGAGGTACTAAAGATTGAACTTGGGATCCTCACATTTGAGGCAAGCACTGTACCACCACATCCCAGCCGTTAGTTTACTTATTTAGATACAGTGTGGCCCAGGCTAGCTTCTAACCTTGCCGCACTTCTGCTTCGGCTTCTTAGATAGCAAGGGTTACAGACTGTCCTGTATCACCATGCCTGGCATTTGCCTTGTTTTTCTAGCCTGTTTTCACGATTTTTTGCCTATGTGAACCTATAAGAAGGTTACTTGAGATTACTTTAGATTTCTGATTCACCTCAGGGTGGGTTAGTGGTTAGGGGGAGAAAACATGAATTTTTTTTAATGTTTTTATTTATTGGTGCCCTTTTTGGTTCATAATCCCAGCAAGCATGGGATTAGCCTCTACAGGCAGGTTTTCCTGATGGAGTTGTAGTGACTCTTGGATGTTGCAGAGGAGAGGAAGGGAAAGCGAAGTCGTTTCAGTCATATGGCCAGTGTTCGTTTCTAGACTCTTGCTGCTCAACCTCACGGTCACTTCTCTGTGAGAGTGTTAATAGACCTGTGAGGCTGTGACATAGATGTCTGATGTGCCTGTCCTGTTCTTCCTGTTGACTACCAATTCTTGTTTGGCCTTTGCTGCTGATTTTCCACTCAGGGGACTGTCTCACTCTGGATTCGTTACATCTTTTTATAATTCAGATGATTTTTATGATTATATTGATTGGATTTCATATAAGCAAATATAATGTCATTTATACGTATTTCTGAGTCAGTTGTTAATTCTTTAGAATACCTCTTGAGCTTTGCCTTTTACTCACTTTTAACATTCCAAGAACTAAATTATATACAGAGTTAAAATTAAATTAGCTTGATCTGTCATCTTGTCGTTTTACTTTTTTTTTTTTTTTTTAACCTTTCTTGGCAAAAATACTTAGTTGTAAAAGGTTCTATATGGGCATTATTTCCAGCATGTAAAATAATTATAATTTTAGTATCCCTGAATTTCCAAAGACAAACTGTTTCCTTGCTGTTTAAGAAGTGAAATTAAGCCAAGTATATGTGTGAACTATATCCCATACCATGTTAATTGCCTACTGCTAAAAAGACATAGTATTCTTCCCAAATTACTGCAGCGTCAAAAGTGTCAGGTTACTATAACAGTGGTCAACAAACTTAAGTTTCCTACAAGATGTTTGGTTTTGTTTTACAGTTACTTTTAACGGGTTTTAATGAATATCAAAAGTTGGCATGTCCTAGATATGTAGATGTTTATTTCAGAAGAAATCCCCCAATTAATAAAAAAGTATATCTTTAGACTTTTCCTCTCATTACATTATATATGGAGAGTGTAGAACTTAAATAAGGTTGGTTGTTCAACAAAGTCAGTCTTCTGTCAGAAGGTAGACAGAAACCTCAGCTGTCCCTTAAGGGATGGAGGTGATACCACAAACCTGGCTGTGGATTCTCTCATTCAGAACAACTAAGGAGAAACTCAACTAAAATACCAGGGTACATATTCTGAGTAGAAGCTCAAATTCAGGGCAGTGCAGAAGCAGAACGGTCTCTAGATGTGCCATTCTAGGATTTAGAAAGGATCTCAGAATCGGGGGGGGGGGGGGGGGGTTCCAGTAACACCCTACCCTCCACAGCTTTTATTTTTTAAACTGATAAGAACAGATACTACACTTGATCTTAGCCAAAAGGCCGAGAAGCGATTATTTTTAAATAAAGTACATTTGAATTAGCATAGTGATGGTGAGAAATACATATGTGTCCTTAAACATAAAGGAGTTGAACAATTTGATGGTTTAATGGTGACAGCATAAAATTAAGTGATGAGTAGTATGTGTGTTTTAAAGGGAATATGATAAAGTACACATTAAGATTGTTTAAGAATTTAGAAATGATAAAGTACACATTAAGAATTTAGAAATTGCTTGGCAGTGGTGGCACACACCTTTAATCCCACAGCACTTTGGAGGCAGAGGTGGGCAAATTTATGAGTTTGGGTCTATAGAGTGAGTTCTAGGACAGCCAGGGCTATACAAAGAAATCTTGTCTCAGGAGGAAAGGCATTTAGAGATTGGCATTTTAAGAGCTAACATGTTAGTAGGAAAATGACCTCTTACAAATCATCTTAAGAGATTTCGTTTCATCCCAAAACTTCCTCTAGTAATACTGAGAACCTCATAGCCTTGGTAGAGGGATCTTCCTCTGCCCTCCAATTCAGACCCTAGATAGCTAAAATTATTCAACATTTGAACAATGACTGATCTAAGTTGATATGTGCTTAAGAGAAAAAGAAATAGATGCTGCACCTGAAATTTTAATATTAAAAAGCTTAAAAAATGGGTGTGGTAACGTTTATGTAAATCTCAGGACTTTAGAGATGAAAGCAGTTCACAGTCATCCTCCAGTACATAATGAGTTTAAGGCCAATCTGTGGTACAGTAAAACAGTGGAAACAAATTAGAAAAAGATATGTCTTAGTGTTTTTTATATCAATTATCATTTCAGTTTTTATATATATATATAGTCTTAAATTAACTGATAACCAAATTAATGCTACCTTTTTGTTTCTACTTTTTTAAAAGTAGCTGGTAGAAAAATGTAAGTTGTGTATGTGTTATCATTGTTGTCTGAAAGTTAGTGAACAATGCTGCTCTGATTTGAAGGTCTAATTCTGTCTTTTAAAAACTGAAGAGTACAGGTCAATCAGGGCCACAAATACAAATGGCTACAGGTAGTACACTAGCCTAGAATTTTGTCTTAGTACTTTGCCATCTGCACTTGAGAAGTATTGGTTTAAAGAGAGAATGGAGAGAAAAGGTGCTTCATAAGGCCCTTTCTGACTTCTGTCCCATAGAGGAGTCATACTCTTTTTTTTTTTTTTTTTACACTGGTGGGGAGGTGGAGCTTTAGCTATAGTTCAGTGTGCATTTCTTAAAGCCTCTGATTAATTCTGTTTTAAAATAATAATAACCCTTTGGGTGAGAGAACAAGTAAGAGGCTTGAAAACTCTAAGTCTGACACACTATTTGGAATCTATATGCTAGCATGTAGAGAGTTTGGTATTTTGGTTTTTCTTTGTTTTTGTTCTATTTTGTTTGCTTTAACAGAAGTCTGTTTTATTGCAGATGGAGTCTGCACGTAAGGCATGGGAGAACTCTCCAAATATAAGGGAGAAGGGGTCTCCAGTCACTTCTGCAGCACCTCCCATTGTGAGTGGAGTCAGCAGTAGTGCCAGTGGACCGAGCACTGCTAATTACAACTCCTTCTCCAGTGCATCGATGCCTCAGATCCCGGTTGCTTCAGTCACTCCTACAGCATCATTGTCAGGTAGACAGACATTTGTCATAGCTTTCCTTACATACCTCTTTTCTGAGGAGTGATCATAGTTGCCTGATGGACCCTAGAAGCACTGGACCTCTGAACCGCTCCTAGCTGAAATGATGTGCTATTCTTTAGGAAAAGTCGTCCCCTTCTCTTACCTATCCTCTTATTTGTCTCTCAGAATTTTAATGTTACTGTTTTATTGATTGCTTACTAGAAAAGATTTTGCTGCATCTTTCCTCATTGAGAAAAAATGTATCTTTTCTAATTTTTTTTCTGTGAAGTTCACCTTTTTATTATCATTTTTACTATATCTAAATAATTTAAAACCCAGTTCAGAAATACAAATTCCCGTAGCTTTTTCCCCCCAGTACATGTCTGGTTTAAGGTACTAATGGAGTCTTTTCTAATGAAGAGTGAGGTAGGCAGTGTTCTTGCTGTTGGGGTGGGTCTGGGGAAAGTCTGTCACAGACTGGACTTAGAAGGACTCCATCCTTCCTTATAGTTTTGCACGACTGCTGACTTAGAGGCTTTGTAGTTCTTAAAAGCACAGGTTTCTAAATGCTTGACTTCCGGGATAGCATATCCCTTTTGTTTTCTAAATGCAACCATGCTGCTTCTGTTAAAAACAAAGTTTATGTCAGGCTTTTACAGTATTCCATGGTGTTTCCAAAGCAGTGAGAAACGCCATTCTAATGAATAAATATACTTTGTACAGAATTTGCTTGCTCTAGTTGGTTTTTTTTTTTTTTAAGATTTATTTATTTATTATATATACAGAAGAGGGCACCAGATCTCATTACAGATGGTTGTGAGCCACCATGTGGTTGCTGGGAATTGAACTCAGGACCTCTGGAAGAGCAGTCAGTGCTCTTAACCTCTGAGCCATCTCTCCAGCCCCTCTAGTTGGTTTTTATTTGGTGATTATTACAGTGTGCTTTTTCCATATTATGCCGTCTTGTGCTAATTTTGAGAACCCACTCCACCACTGGTGTTTGGACTGTCCTGTACCTGTTTTTCTGTTATCTGTAATTAGTGTATTTAGACAAACCCAATGTAGGCATGGTGGCACACACTTGTGATTTCAGCACTTGAGATACTGAAGCAGGAAGATTAGAAAACTGAGACCAATCTAGGCAGCTATGAAGGCACTGTCTCAAAAGAAAATGAAAGAAAACCCTCAGAGATGATTCCTGTATTGTAATGCTGTGCAAAACAATGCCCACTTGTATTTCTTTCTTTAAAACTTGTCCAGTCATTCCGCACTGCCCATTTGTAAGACATCTTAATAGACTAGCTTGAATTCCCATCTACTCGAGTGGGAATTGATGTAAAACAAATATATAAGATTGTGGTAGGATGACTTGAATGTTCCCCAGTATTTCTTTGGAATCCAGTGACCTCCTTTTTCCAGGTCTAGCTTCACTCTGCTGTTTGATTGAGCAAATGTGACAGGGATAAAAGTCTGTCCTTACTTGGTAGTGACATGACTGGTTTCTATTGTTGTTGCCGTTGTTTGGTTTTCTTCCCTTTTCTTTTCAAGACAAGGTCTCTTGTATTCTTGACTGGCCTAAAACTCTGTAGATGAGTGAATGATTCTGACTCCACCTCCTAGTGTGGAGATCACAGGAACTTTGTACTAGGATTACAGGCATATGCCACTGTGCCTGGTTTATGGAGTGCTGGGGATATGGTGTGTGCTAGGCAAGCACCTCTATCAACTCAACTCCATTGCCAGCCTTTGAGACACTCCAATCCCCTCATATTTTTGATTTGTGGTTGCTTGAATGCTTTAATATCTATAGGACCCATAGAACCAGAAGACATAATAGGTATCAAGAGTGAACATTGCTATGTTTTTCTTCCTTCTTCCAATACAGGAGCTGGCACTTACACTACCTCTTCTTTGAGTACAAAATCTACAACCACATCGGACCCTCCTAATATTTGTAAAGTAAAACCCCAACAGTTACAGACAAGCAGCCTACCTTCTGCAAGTCATTTTTCACAGTTAAGCTGTATGCCTTCTCTGATTGCCCAGCAACAGCAGAGTCCACAAGTTTATGTGTCTCAGTCGGCAGCAGGTAATAATTTTAGGTTTGGTTATAGGAATTTAGAAAATGAACACTTATGCTTTTCTCTTCTCATAACTCTTTAAAGCTTGGTGGTTTGGGTTGGTTTGTTTGTTTTGTTGTTGGTGGTGGTTTTTGTTGTTTTTAGTGTACTTTTCAAATATGTCCTTCTGTCGATTTGAATCCTATCCCTCCATGACAAGAATTCTGGTACTTTTGCACATGGTGTGTGTGTGTGTGTGTGTGTGTGTGTGTGTGTGTGTGTGTGTGTGTGTGTGTCCGTCCATCCATCCGTGTCCTTTTTTTGTCTTGTACATTTATGACAAATTAGTGTCTTATAATTTGCAAAGTAATTTGTCCATGCCTTCTATTTCATTAAAATCTCCAAAGTATCTTACTTGAAAAAAAAAAAATAGTGAAGTTCTTGGTGAAAAGAACATAAGAACAGCAAACAAGAAAAATATTGTAATGGTGACTGTTACAGTGGCCATCACAAATGCTTAAACTTGCTGATGGTTTAAATTCTGAATAATGCCATTCATAATAAGGTTATTTGTAGCTAACATCTGTTATCTAATATCTAAGGTATTTTACTAGCAATGCATAGTTTGTGAATTAACAGTTCTTTCTTACAAGATTTGTGTATTCATCTATATTGACTATTTTATAAATAAGAATCTTGATTCCTATCTGATACGTTTAAGGTTGTTCATTTGACTGTTGTATAATAGTCACAAAAATAGTATGCTTGGGTCGTCAGAATATATTGCTTTACAAAGACAGCAAATCACAAAATTGTATGTTTGAAATATGTAAAAATATATTTAAAATCTATGCCAAACTTTTAAATCCCAATTGCTTTGAAATATGTTGCCCTATTCTAGTCAGTAGTTTAAAATTGGAGTGGATTTGCTGGTTCAGTGGTTAGGTTCAATTTTTGTGTGAAATATTTCTAATACGCAGCCAATTGAGAACATATGAGAGCATCTATTTCATATGATCCAGTAGTGCCAGATTTATAGTGTGTTATTTACATACACTTCCCCACTAGAAGTTTTATGTCTTAACATTTACACTTTTTCTTTGACTATTAATTTTCAGAGGGCTTACATTTTAAACCAGCTAGAAAATATTTTTTTACTGCTATAAGCAGTTTGGTTTACTGCTTTGAAAATTCTGAAATTTAGACAATACTGTTTATTTTTCCTCATGGTCTATAGCTCAAATTCCAGCCTTCTATATGGACACAAGTCATCTATTCAATACCCAGCATGCACGGTTGGCTCCACCTTCCCTGGCTCAACAGCAAGGTTTCCAACCAGGCCTCTCTCAGGTAAACAGTCTTTGACACGTCTCTTGGATTCTTAGTTTTTAAAAAAAAAAATCTACCTTGAATTGTCTTGTGGATAGGCTATTAGCAAAACTTGGGGGGAAAAATCTAATTCCCCAAATTATCAGAGCTTAATACTTATCGTTATGCAGTAAGTCATAGATTAAAAAGAAAATTGGTGTTAAAAGGGAGCTGATATATACTATAAATCTTTTATTTTTATGTCTGGATTTTTGTTGTTTCTATTTTCTCAGTCTTGTGATTTGTATGTATGAAGCTTGTACCTATATATGCACTGGTTTTTTGTTTGTTTGTTTGTTTTTTTCATTGCAGCCAACATCAGTTCAGCAGATTCCAATTCCTATTTATGCCCCACTGCAAGGGCAGCATCAAGCCCAGCTGAGTTTGGGGGCTGGACCTGCTGTTTCCCAGGCTCAGGAATTATTCAGTTCTTCAATTCAACCATATAGGTAAATTGCATTAAAAGTTGATATTTTTAATATTATAATTGCAGATTATGTGGTATCTAGTGCTAACTCTGTTTTCCCAAACCCTAGGGTACCATGTTATAAACTAATTAAGCATATTCATTATATGTTGCAAGCCTGTCTTTGGTGATTTCAGTTAGGCCTTGTTTTCTTCTGTTTTGTTCATGGTTCAGATAGGATTTTTTTTGTTGTTGTTGTTGTTGTTTTTGTTTTTTTTTAATTTTTCGAGACAGGGTTTCTCTGTGTAGCTTTGCGCCTTTCCTGGAACTCACTTGGTAGCCCAGGCTGGCCTCGAACTCACAGAGATCCGCCT